TTGAAGTATGGTCCAAATACCCAGCAACCTGGGAAGACATAGTACGTTCTGGCAAAGGATGGAAGTTCTAGGTAGCTAAGACACAGATGCCACCTTGCAATTCACTGGTGTGTGACTTAGGATGAGTCACTTCATCACCTAAACCCCCAGATTCTTCACACGACTAGAGAATTATAACCAGCTTATGAGACTTGCTGGCAGGTCCAGATTTGACCACATCTGCGAATGTGTTTTGTCAGTGGTAAAGGGCCATAGAAAAGTAGTGGATACCATGACCTGGTGGGTGAGAGTGGCCATGGTACAGGTGGGTGTTCAACATCCATGGCCAAGGAGAATAATTAGCTTGCAATAACATGAAATTAGCAGCTCGTGTAAAGCAAACGAGCTTGCAGCATTTGATTATAGTAATGTTTAGTAATTGCCTTCTAGTAATTAAGCAATAATGAGCTTCCTGAGACAGAACCTTGTTAGAGTGAAAGATGAATCAGATGCTTTCAATTCAATGTTAATTTCTTGAACACAGCAGTGGGGTGTGCAGATGTGAGCCTCTGGGTGAAGCACATCCTTGTCCTGAGTGCCCGGGGCAGTGGACACATAGAGCATGGTTCCTTCTACCAGGCCATGCAGGAGAGGACCCTGGAGGGAGATTCACCCGCAAGCAGCTCACTGTGCTCTGGGATCATCCAAGAGGGAGGCTATCTATGGCTCTTGTTAGAAACTGGAAAAAATCATTATTTTTAAAAGGGATGCTTTTTATTTTCTTATATATATATGTATGTATGTATATATATATATATATTTACATCATTTTCATTTTGTTACATGTTTTCATCTCAGTTATAATCCCCATGGGCTTCCCACCACCACCTCACCCATGTGCCTTCATCATGGTCCCTTATGCTCTACCTGCCCTAGTTATGATCCTGTTCTTCTCCCCACCCCCATAGAATATCTGGTTTATCGCTGTTTGTTGATTTTCTTTTTTGCTTTATTACAGTTACTCTCTCTCTCTTTTTTTTTCCTCCTGATCCCTTACACTCCTGCTATGAGTGAAACCACCTGGCATTTTTCTTTTTCTTTCTGGCTAATTTCACTAAGCATGAAAATGGGATACTTTTAAAATATATTATCTTACTGGCATCTCAAACAATTTGATGATTATAGGTTCTAATATCATTCCTATTTTATGAATAAGGAAACTTTTAAAATAATGTTTTTTTATTTTACATATTTTTACATCAATGTGTGCTTTCTCATCCCTGCTATAGTCCCTGTGAAATCCCACCACCAATTCACCCATGTACCATCATCATAGTCCCTTGTGCTCTTCCTACCCCTGTTTTGATCCTACTCCCCTCTCCCTTCCTGCAAAATATCTCTGGTTTATAGATACCTGTTGATTTTGATATTTACTTTATTATGATTATTCATTGCCCCCCCCCATCCCTTATTTGGATCCTCTACATTCTTCCTAAGAGTGAAACCATCTGGTATTTTTCTTTTTCTTTCTGGCTTTTGTCTCTGAATCTGATCCTTTCCAGCTCCATCTATGTTGCTGTGAGTGGCACGAGATTATCTTTTTTGATTGCTGAGTAATATTCCACTGTATATATTCAGCAATTCCACTCCTAGGTGTCTGCCCAAAAGACACAAAAACATTAACCCCAAAGGACACCTGCACCTCTATGTTTATTGCAGTACTACTTACAACAGATAAGCTATGGAAGCAACCCATACGCCCAGAAAGAGATGATTGGATCAAGAAAAAGGGAACTTTTTATAGCTCTTTAACAGTCCAGGTCTCTTTTTTTTCATCCCCCCCTCTCCCATGCTATCTAATTGATGTGAGAATTTTGTGCTGCTCTGGAAAGGGGATGGGAAACCTGTTCACCCACCTCCTTAGTGTGTAGACTAAGGCTAAAGGGAAGACCTGAGTGGCATAAGATTCTAAATCAAGGGTGAGTTTCCTAAGTATAATTTTTTGGATATATTGCTGGAAGTCAGAAGGTGGGGCAGGCATCTGGCCTCTATTTACTAGACTGACTGACTTTGTTATACTGAGCTCCAAAAGAGGAAAGAGAAAATGTTCTATGGACCATAGTGGTTGGAGTTACTTTTGTAAACATGACTTTGATAAGTGGTTTGTGTTGCTAACATCATACTGCTTAGCTTTTCCTTTTCTTTTTTTGCTCTATAGTACATCTTGTTTCCTGTAACCTTTTCAAATTCATTTTTTTTCTCACCTGCTTTTCCTTTTTCAAATCTTATGCTTATATCCTTTCATTTAGAGCTCTTGTGGTGGATCACCTATGGGATTTTATTTATTTATCTGAGTAGTGCTCATGTTCTCCCACTGTACCTGTTATGTCATTACATGATGGCCGAATTTTGGGAGTACCCTGTGTGGAGTAGGCTCTTCTAGGTCTAACTCCTAGAAGAGACTGGGGTTGGGAGGCAGTGTGAGGAACGTGCCCATTTGACCTAGAATCAGTGTGTGCTGCTTGAGGAGGAGGCAGAATTTAGAACAATGCATTCCAGTGGACCCGGAGTTCCATTCAGATGAGCCTAACTCCTAAAGACAGCATAGCAACACCATCAACCACCAGGTAATTGTATCCTGTTTCAGAAGGAGCTGGGCTTTAGAGTAAAATGGATCTAGGTTTGAATCCTGGTCTTAAGAATAATTAGCTGTGTGACTTTAGGACACCTTCCTTGTGCCTCAGGTTTGTTTCTCTTTCTCATTCAATTCATTAGCTCTTTCTTAAGCTCCTATTATGATACAGACACTGTAGGAGGGGCTCTAGGCTAAGTTCAAGCTGCTGGGTTTGAATCCCCACCCCACCAGTTAAGTGGAAGGCCCACTTAAGTGGGACCTTAATGACTTTTCATTTAACTTCTCTTGTGCTTCAATGTCCTTAGCTGCCAAATTAGGAAGCTAGTAGGGCTTATCTCAGAGGAGCTATGAAGGTTAAATCAGTGAGTAATATAAAGTGAGGAGATGGAGATCACAAGGGTAACAATTGGGAACGGTTAGGATCTGGACTCAACCAGAAGACACTTCATCCATTTCATATTGCTCCGGGTTATGTGTGCGTGCGTGTGTGGGTGTGTGTGTGCGTGTGTGCGTGTGCGTGTGTGTGTGTGTGTGTGTGTGTAGGATAAAGGTGCTGAGAAAATGGGTTGAAATGTGGGAGAGAGATAAATAACTGGCAAAGTGTGGACAGTGTTGCAGTAGTGTATAGCGGGGAAGCCCAACCTCTCTTGCAGGTCAGAGAAGCTTACTTGGGAGACTTATATGTAAAAACCAAGATTAAAAGAAGAATAAAAGTTGGACAGGACAATGAAGTGAGCAGAAGAAACAGTGTATAGAAAGGACCAAAAAGAAGCAAGTCCATGTATTTAAGAAATGGGAGAAATCCAGTGAGTTTTGTGTCACCCTGTACCCTTCTCCCCGTGGGTTGCATCTCCCCTTTTTCTCTTCCTGTAGAGTCTACTGAACTTGTTCTGTGTACACACTTGAAGTGAGTATGGTGCTGGTTTGAACTGTTATTTAACTCATGTTGTTTTTGAGAACAGAGACTACCTCACAGCTGTACTTCCTATAGAAAAGAGCCTGGGAATAGAGTAGGTGTTCATAGACAATTTTGCTTTCCAAGGGCATGGTTTTGTGGGTACCAACACTCTTATACAGTTTTTCCCCCATTGTCACAGTAGTTCTCTGACATAGACAGAGCATGTAGTGTTCTTTTCAATACAATAAGAGAAACTAAGATCTACACTTAAGTGATATGCCATTGATTAACTCTTTAATTCTATAGTGTAGGCATTTACTAAGGGTAAGTGTACTTTGGTCTAGGAAAATAGAGCTGAAAAGTATATCCCTTTTCTCAAAGGTGAAGCAGACATTTGACTAAATACTTGTATATAGCAAGTAAAGTTTTAGGACAGAAGAATACTGTTTAAATTTATTTTGGGAACATGAATGAAAAATCAGAGAGAGAGAGAGAGAGGTTTCATCCTATCTGAAAGATGAACTTCATGCCATAGAAGAGTGCCATAGAAGAGTGGGAGGGAGAACACCCAGGCAGAGGCAGCGACACCTGTATACTCAGTGCCAGGAAATGCAAGGATGGTCACTGTGGCAGGTGACACTTTGCCAGCATGACTGGCAGCAGGTGTGTGCAGTGGGCTTGTGGTAGACGGGAAAGGTGTCCATCCCTCCCTCCCACTGGAAAGTGTCTAAGACCCCATGACCTGTCGGGGACAGAAAGGCCCTTCTTGGTCCTCCTTCACTGAGTCTTCCAGGCCCTGCCCTTTCTTCCCAGAGACATACACAGGGTATCCATAAACCAAGCTTTGCAAGGCTCTTCTTGGTCACTGTTTCTCACACTCCCAGCTTACCTGCATATTAATTTCTGTTTAAAACAGGTTTTGGGCCTTCCCTGGTAGCTTAGCAGGTTAAAGCGCAGCACAATGAAGCTGGCTCTAGCTGCTTCAGTGCAGTTTCCATCCCCAGCCTGGGGGAGGTGATCCACATGGGATAGCAGACCTCTCTTGTCTCTCCTTCTGTACCCCTCAGCAGTGTACTTTGTTGTTCTGCTCCCTACTCTATCTTTGGTGAACCCTCTCTGCCCCTGCACCTCTGGCCTATACCTCAGTTCTATATGCATAAATAAATAAGTCTTTAAAAAATAAAACAAAACAGATTTTACCACTTGAGCAACCTGTGATCTGACTACTTAGAAGAGTAAAGGATACCAGGTGAAAGGACATCTGCGTCACTTATTCTCTGTGCCATGAGGTAACTGGGAAGGAGGAAAGTCTGTCTCTGACTAGATACCTGTGGTCCTCTTTTGCTGGCAGGGTCACCAGAGGGGAACTTTAAATTACTTCTTGAATGAGTCAGACCCACTTCCTGAGGAGAAGGGGCTAGCGCAGCTCAAGCTTCCTAGGCAAGTCTAGCCAGGTCCATCTTACTCTTGTCTGTGCTTGCCTTGCAGCTGTGTAAATGAGTATGGAAGATTATGATTTCCTGTTTAAAATTGTTTTAATTGGCAATGCCGGTGTGGGGAAGACGTGCCTAGTCCGACGGTTCACTCAGGTAAGAACTCAGAAGTGCAGGTGGTTACTCCCCCTGGCCTGCAGATTTAGGGGAACCTGGGGGGGTGGGTGACTGGTCCTGCACCAGCCTGTGGGCTGCTGTCTTCAGCTTACTCTGAAAGGGATTTGGAGCCCAGATGGGATTTCTTTAATCCATCTCAAGAGTGCTTGACTCCATGGTCACCACCCACTGTCTTGTTAAATGCGGGAGAAAGTGGTTTTGCTTCCAGCGTGGTCTGAGGAATAGATTATTAAATAAAAGATAGGTGAGTAGTTGCTAATCAGATGAATAGGGATATCAAACTCGACCAAAATATTGTTTTAAAAATGCAAATTTGAATTTGAATTTAAATACAAATTAAACCAATCAAGTTTCCTGCCAACTCCCTCTCATATCTTCCCAGCCAAACAGACCAATTTTTTTAACTCTGCTAGGTGGGGATGAAATGAGAACAGTGGAAGACTATTTGAACTAAATTGAATGTTCCACCTGGGTTGAGTCTTTATCATATGATCCCTCTGTAACTGTCCTTTTGAGAATTATTGCGAGAGCTTATATACCTATTTTAATACAGAAATGAGAGAGAAATCATAATGAAGTTGACAGACTTTAGTGTTTTCCCTAGAAAAATGGGAATGATATTCCTTTCAGGATTATTATGCATAGTCTTGGCATTTTCATAAAGTACTACCTGGGCAAGGTGATCTGGCCCTTCTATCAAAGGCATAGGGCCACCTGGGAAGGGCACTGGCTGGAGAGTCCAGACAGAGTCTCATCCCAGCTCTGCCCTTGCTTACCCTGACAGCCCAGGTAAGTAGCCTGCTGCTGGCTCCCTGTCTCTCTGCCCCCCCCCCCAAAGAACCTTCTGGTCCCCAAGGTCCCTTCCAGCGCTGACCATCTGCAGCTATGGAAAACTGGAGAGGCAGGTTCAGGTTTGATAATACAAACAGCTTTGGGCAGAGTCACCTTTGGAAACCCCAGGGTTTTGCCACAATGAATGAGCATGCAACAGAATGTGGGCTTTTTCCTAAAATTTGGCCTGTTAAAATAAAAAGTAATAAGCAAGCATGCATCTGGACTCAATCAACAACCATGGTGTGATACTGGGAACTTCAACTGGTTTTACTTCCACCAAACATAAGTCACCTTTTCCACTTTTGGTAGGAGGACAAGATTGCAGAAATGTAGAGGAGTTTTGAGCCCCTTTATCAAAATTCCAGGGGGTTGGCTAAATTGGATAAAAAGGTCATTTGTATGGTAAAGGATAGAGCTGGACATTTAGTGGTTAAGTTAGTACAGTATATGCTACAAAAATATTCCCTTGACCTTATAAAATTCCCTTAGAGGTTATTCAATACTCTCTTCTCATTCTACTGAGGGAAAACTCAGCTCTGGAGGAATGAAATGACTTCTCTGCTTCTCTGATCATATCAATGGCAAGGTCAGGATTGGAGCACACATCTCCTGAGACCAGTGTGATCACTTCTGTTCTCTAATGTTCTGTGTTCTAAGCTTAAACACCATAGGAATTGGGCTTTTCTTGTTAAAAGCATATTCCCTGTCACTAAAAGTGAAAAATGCTTCTATTTTTGAATATTACTTTTCACGAACAAGTACACTACTGCTTGTCTTTCTTTCTACTTTTTACCCTTCCCAGCTCTTCAATTCCCCCAAAGTTCATATTTTTCAGGCCGAATTATGCTTGTGTTGATTATACAGTAGAACGTTAAATGAGCTAGATTCAGCTGTTTTGGAGGTATGAGGGCTTTGGGAACAAAACGATAGGGGAGACATGGGGAAAGCTTTGTTTTATTTTTTGGCATTTGTTAGACTGCAAAAACAGCTGGAGCTTTCAACTCAAAGCTTGGCAGCCTTGTGCTTGAGCCAAACCAAAATAGAAGAAAATTGATTCAATATTTTTAAGTAAAGTTATGAATGTTTATATTTACATCTTTTGCAGACATGTAATGGAACATTTTTTTTTGAAGCTCAGCCATTTAATTTCATACTTTAATTAAAGAGCTCTCTTACTAGGAATGGACTTAATTAAATATGCCCCAATCTTAGCCACCGCAGCTAATAAGGTCCATTTTACCTTATTTTCTGAAAATTCTGGAAGAGAAGTGATGAGGGAAGAAAACTAGGTTCTTTCTCAATAGACTGCTTCCCTACTTTCACCTCCTCCAAGTTTACCAGAAAAATCATGTAACAGTAATTTCATTAGACATACATTTTTGTTGAATCCTATCTTTGTAGTTTGGCTCTCAGTTTAAGGTAATACGTTTTTATTATTTTGAAATGCTTCTATCCACCTCTAGCTCATTGAATTTGAGGTCCAGAGAGGGAGACTGGCTTGCTTGAAGTCACATAGTATTCCAGAGGCTGCTGCCTCCCTGTCAAGTGCTGCTTCCACTGTATTTTCTCTCTCAAAGTGCTGCTTTCACTGATGATCTTCTTTGCATCATTGACCCTGATCTCACATAATTACATATGCTGGGTACACTGTACTGAAGGAAATAGTTATCACGTACAGGGCAGAGGCAATTATGAAACCTTACTGTCTTGTTCATGGTTTACCTCCTCAGTTCTTGTTTTTTTTTTTAATTCTTTTTCTCATATTGATTGTCTACCCCTGTAACTAGTTTTAATATTCCTTTATTTTACTTTTCAGGCCATCCATTTCACTTTTCCCTAGCAATGTTAATCTGTCCCCGTGATTCCATGATCTTCTCTTTGTATCTGATTTTTCTGTTTCATTCTTTGGACTTCTCCTTCTTTTCTAGTTCTCTCCCTTCCCTTGCTGTCTTCCTTCTTTTTCTCTGTAGGAAAGAGGGGAACACATCTCTTCTTCTTTCAACATTTCTCTTCTACTTTCTCCTCCCCTCAAAACAAACATGCATTAAACAGGCTTCCCATGACCCTGAGCAGAGTCAACCACCCAGAGTGAAGGAACTGGGAACTGATAGTGATGGCAGAAAAAGGGGAGAATTTCATTTAATTGAAAGATCTGTCTAATGGTTATTTTTTATTATTTCTTTTTTAGGGTCTTTTCCCCCCAGGTCAAGGAGCCACAATTGGAGTTGATTTTATGATTAAGACAGTGGAGATTAATGGTGAAAAAGTGAAGGTAAGATGCTAAGTGTTAAGAGTTTCATGATGTTGGGTGAGAGGAAGTGATATTTTCATAACATATACTTAATCTCATTGAAACCCACATTGGAAATAATATACCTAACCATAGCAGCTTATTACCAAACAGAATCCTTCTAGCCCTTTTGTGGGGGCAAGAAGAGGTTATAGATGGTGTGTTTACAGATAGGAGGACAGAGCAAGAAGACCTAAAGCAAGTATGTCCCATCACTGTCATGTCAGATGGTGTGAAACAACAAAGAACTTTCTTTCTGGATCTCCTGAGTTGTGCCAATAAACAGCGCTACCTCTTTTGTTTAGTGGGCACAGGCGAGAGCTGCTGACTTGCATTCTCCTCCCTTCATATCATACATTCAAAATGAAATAAAACAGGTTTCCCATGGCACTAGCTAGAGTTTTCTTTTCTACCAGTTCACTGAGCTGGTAGGAAGAGGCTGGTAGTGATGGTGAAGAGGGCGGAGAATTTAAGTGAAAGATTGGCTTTGTTATTAGCTTCTGAATCACCCATTGAGTTACTTGTCTCCCGCCGTGCCCCTGTGCCTAGGCAGCTTGGAGAGATACTAAATGAGGGGTCCAGAAAAAACCCATGGTCTCCCTCTCCCCTGTGACGTCTGGTTAGTTTGGTACCTGTAAGGCCTATGGTGTGTGGAGTAACAGGAGACTAAAGGTAGAGTTGACCAAGGAGTTGCTGTGTGCCAGTCCTCTGCTTGGTGCCTTTACACGTGCCATTACATTGAAAAGCCTTACCAAGAACCCTGTGAGGTAAGAGGTAAATTATCTTTCCTTTATAGGTTTCAGAGAGGTGACTGACTTATTTATCCACAGTTAGGAAGGAAGAGAGGCAGGACACGAGCCAATTTTGTGAGTTAGTGCACCCCACTGCCCCTCTGGGGCCTCCCATGTCTTGAAAGAAGGAAATGAAGACACATTGGTCTGCTGTCTTGGAGCAGATAACAGAGAAATGTGAAGCAAGACTAAGTGATAGGAGAAAAGAATAGAGAGTCTGGTTGTTAGCCCTGAGCTCTACCTGCCCCTCATTCCTAGTGAGATTCCTCTCTCAGATCTCTCAGAGCTGAGGTCTGTGGGAAGAAGCAATGACTGTGACATCAGAAACATGCTGAATTGAACACTGGAATCAATTTCAGCTGGATAAAGTGTCCTTTAAGCATCCCAGGTTTGAGTTCATGTGTCACTGGCAATCTTCCTCCACATGCACCCCTGTGCCTGCCTTTAAATGCCTTGGGAAGAGCAGAGGAGCTCAGTGGCCCAATGGTGGCACTTTATAGACAAAGAGACTGTGCAGGAGAAGGTTTCTAGGTGGTGACCAGCAGCTCTCCCTGTATCTCTGAGCACTAACATCTCACTGGTCCCTTACAATAACAACTGAGAGCTGGGGCACTGGACATTTGATAGTTTGAAATCCATGCAAATGCAAACCGGAAAGTTTAGGAAATAGTGTATTTTCTGAAGTAGAAGAAAGGAAGTAGGGTGTTGCTAGGAAGGATACAGGAATATATATACACAGAGAGGACTGGCAGGAAGAACCATATTTTCCAAAAGCAGAGGTGGTTTTCACCTGAGTTGCTGAATAACTATACTCCTCCAGGCACTTTGCTTCCAGATATTGGGATTGCCTGTATATGTACACATATATGTGTGAGTTCACTCCTTTGGCCAGAGATGTTAGTGCCTCCCATGTGCCAGGCACTGGAAATGAATAGGGATAAGTAAGAAATGGTCCCCAGTGTTGAAGATCAGATTTATTTACCTTTTCTGACTCCCCAAGTTTTGCTATTACCTTTATTCCATTTTCTGCAAGCCATAAACCCATTTTTAAATGCTTATCCCTCTGATACAATCACAAGACCACAGCCTCCCTACGAGCAAAATTTGTGTCTTACTCATCTTGTATCAAAGCACAATTCCTGTTCCTGGCACCTCTATCTGTAACAAGTGAGAGTTGGCTTGTCTCCCAAATGCTGTTCTAATTAATTCGCCATATATGTAGAATCAAGATATAAAATGACCCTTCTCAACCATATTAATTGAATGGCCTCATTAACACTTGGACACAAGGAGTCACTCTCTTAAGTCTTAATGGAAAAGGGCTGAGCTGCCCATGTTTCTTTAAGGAAATAGTTGTCTTAGTGGTGTCCTGTTCTTTAGCAGTTACTGACTGTTCTTTTCTGATGATCCCTGTCTTGTTGCTAGTAGATTGCATTTTTTTTTTCTCTCAGAACTCTGTACAGTCAGTGGAAAATAGAATATACCAGTGGTTTGTTCAGGATCTTGCCTGGCAAGAAGCAGGACAGGACCAGGCCCAGAATCTTTCTCCTGGCTCCTTGTCACCTCCCTCGGCCTCCCCAATAAGTCTTATTCTTTGCAGAATGACTTCCAAGGAATCAAAGGCAGTAGATTCTTGTAGCTATGAAAGTTTTGTACGAAATGAGTAAAGGCAAAAGTGAGGGAGAGGCTCCTCTCTAAGAAGGTCCTGCATTATGGAAATCACTTGGGCTAGAAAATATAATTAAAGCATATGTAGAATTTTCATCCATCCATTGATACTTTTCAATGTGTCACAAATTAGTGGGTGAAAGTCAAACTCTAAGTTCAGTCGTATTTTAACCCATAGAAGATTAATTATCATAGAAGATTTTCCAGATTTCCCTCTAATGAGGTCTATGTTTCATAGACAGCAAAGTCCTGCAAGTGTACACATGTATTTCTTCAGTTGTCTACTGATACATTGATTCCTCTATCCTGTGTTATAGTAGATGCTTCTTGTTAGGTAAAACATCTTTATTCTCTAGGAACTTACTATTGCCTACCACAGCCATTTTACTTTTTTAAAATATATTCATTACATCATGCTTCATTTTGGTACAAGGTATGATTTCCCCTCCAATTCAACCATGCACCATCACCATAGTCCCTTGTAGCACAAACATTTTAACTGTGAAATCTTCTTTAATACCAGTCACTTAACCAAAATTAATCCTTCATGATTTCACAACCTTTTATTCAGTTCACTAGCCATTCAAATATGTCTGTCACTTAAACATGCACTGGATTTGGAAGGCATCAGGGACCTAAAGTTAAATAAGAGATAGCCCTTCTACTAGAGAGAGAGGGAAAATATAGCAGGCACAGAGGGAGGGCACTATGGCGGAAGGCTATGGGTGCTTGGACAGCCAGGAAGGGGTGCTACCATGCACTGAAGAGGTGAACCTACTCGTCTAAATCATCTGTAGTTTTATAAAACAATGTTATCTCAATAAAGGAAAAAAAGAGACAGCTCTTGCCCTCAAAGAACTCATTATAACAAAGAGACACACTAGTAAACCAATGATTGCAATACACAGGTGCAACACTGAGGCAATTGAAGTGTAAATTGTGGTACAAATAAGAGCTTAGCGAACTGTGCAGCCCCATGCTGGAGTGGAGAGGGCTTTGAAAGCCCAGGGCTGTGGTACTGAGAACATATTGGTGGGCGTGGCATCTGACTAAAACTGGGATACGCTCCTCTTGTGCAGATTCCTCGTTACTAGAACATCTCGTACTTTATTGTGGTTAGTTAACTATGTAGTTGGCTCCCTTTGAGCTGTGGGCTGTTTTATTCATCTTTGTATCCACCCTGTGCCTAGTTCAGTGCTTTGCATATGTTAATGACCTATGCATTCTAAAAAGGACCAAATGAATTATACAGTGCATGGTGAAACCAAGTTGAATGATAAAGGCAGTAGCATAGGAATATCCTTAGGAATCAAATCTAAAGCCAGGAATAGAAAAGCCAACCCACCCCACTCCCATAAGAAACTGTTGTGCATCTTGACAAGACCATAAATCACTATTCTAGAAAATATTTCAGTGGTTTTCATTCTCAAAGCTGTTCTCAGGATATGCTAGTTGTAAGAACATACTGCTGTCTAATGACTGGTACTATTAAATTCAATCACAAGTGTTTTTAGAGGGTTGATATTACATTAAAACAATAGTCTGTTGTTCTAAGACATATCCTGGCAGAGGGGCACCATGCCCCTAGATTTGAGGCAGAGAAGAGAATGGCTTTTGTTAAGCAAAAGCCTTAACATCTGTAAGTTGCCTTCAGCAGACACAGACTTTCATGTATATTATCAAAGAGCAGCTGCGATTTCAAATCAAAGGAGCGCCTGTGTGCCTGACTGCAGGTCAGGACAGTGGGGCTCACTCTCCAGTCTCCTCCGCTAAACTGGTATGAGCAGAGGGTGACACCAAATGACTCCTCCTCTGTGGGTACAGATGCATAGTACTCAGTCTCGGGAGGCAAAGGTAGCATGGGGGTATGTATTGAGTTTTTCACTGTGAACGAGAAGTCTGAGTACTAGCTTGGGAGGACTCAGGAGCTGGAGCTTCCCATTAATAAGAGAGGCATAAACTTGACTTCCTCACTGGGTTGCTATAAAGATAAAAGGAGACTGTAGGTATTCACTTACTATTTATCAGATATTCTATCTAGTGCAGGAGATTCTGTGAGTAAAATGGACCTACTTTTTCTGCATGAAACTTTTAGTCTAGAGAGGAAAACAGCTATTTAAAAAATCACAACAGTAGTTTAGAAAATTATTACAGTCTTTATTAAAGTAAATATTTGGGGCCTCTCTGGTTGCTTAGGTTAAGTCTCAGCGCTGTTGTCACTACAACCTGAGTTCTATCACTGGCCAGGAAATTAATGCACATAGGGCGCAGCAGACCTCTCCTGTCTCTCCCACTGTTCCCCTTAGGAGTGTACTTGGGTAGACCCAGCTGTTCTGCTCCCCACTCTGTCTCTGGTGAATCCTCTCTCCGCCCTGCTTTCCGGCCTAGACCACAGTTATTCTACACAACAAGCAAATAAGCAAAATGTATGATTCAAGATGTCAGGCTGTGAAGAATTTCAGGGTGTAAGAGAGAACATGTGAGAGTGGGGGACCAGGAAGGGGAACCTGGTTTAACCTTAAGGCTTTAGACAGTCTTCCCTGGGAAATGATGTTCTTTTAGTGAGACTGAATGAATCTTGTGACACGTGAAGTTTATGCAATCACAGGGAAGATTATTATTGTCATTGATGTTATTTCTCAGAGCTCTTGGATTTGTTCTATGTTTGGGTCTGTCTTACCAGTAATATGCTCTGTGCTGGAAATTCAAGGAGAAGTGAGAAGTGTTTTTGCCTTCTTTCTTAGAAATTAGGTATTATACAAGAGATGACTTCTGAAAATGTGACTTTCCAGCAGGGAAGTTTTAACCTTTTATTTGTTTTTAAATTTATTTATTTATGCATACAGAACGGGGGTACAGGCCAGAGGTGAGGGGCAGTGAGAGGATTCACCAGAGACAGAGTGGGGAGCAGAACAGGCAGATTGACAAAGTACACTGCTGAGGGGAGCAGCGTGAGAGACAGGGGAGGTCTGCCAGCCATTTGGGTCATTTCATTGGCTGGGGACCAAACTCGCACTGAAGCAACTGCCGCAAGCTTCCCAATGCTGTGCTTTAACTGCTGCACCACCAGGTAGGACCCAACCTATTTATTTTTCTTTAATAAAGAAACTATCAGTGCCCATAGAGTGACGTGCCTAGGATCACAGAGCTTAAAGGTGGTAGAGGGAAACTGAGCCTTCTTTGCCGTGACATTGCTGTTGTTTTCATTAATAAAGATTAAAAACAACCATTTGAATTTCGAACTGGGAGAGGTGGTGAGGTTGCATTTTCTCATTCTCAGCTTGCTAACTGAAATGTCAACAACCAGAGAATGACAGCTACCAGTGCCTGACTTTTGTACTTCACTGGACTTGCAGTTAAAAGCATGAACTCTGGGACCTCAGTGCCTGGTTTCATTAGTTGTGGGCAATGCTGGCTACAAGACACCCATTTCCTCATGTGAGAAATGCCAAAGTAATAGTAATTCTAGTAATAGCCTCCTGGAATTATTGAAGATAATGTGAGTCATTGCATGTAAAATGCATAAAGCTTGCCACATAATAAAATGTTCAGTAGGGTTTTTAAAGAACAAAGAGGAAACTCTAAAGCAGTCTAGTGAAGAACAAAAGACATAAAACAAAGAAAGCCCCACTCTTTTGCCAGGCACACCCAACACATTTTTAAAAATTCTACATCCTTCCAGGGCAGAAAATAACCATGAAATTATTTGGGTGAAGTGTTTCCTTTTTAAACTAGAGCAGGCAATGCTTGCTTTCTTTTCTGTTTCTCCAACCTGATCTTTTCTCTTATGTGCTCACAGCTTCAGATCTGGGACACAGCAGGTCAAGAGAGATTTCGATCCATTACCCAGAGTTATTACCGAAGCGCCAATGCCCTAATCCTCACCTATGATATAACTTGTGAGGAATCCTTCCGCTGCCTTCCTGAGTGGTTGCGGGAGATAGAACAATATGCCAGCAACAAGGTCATCACTGTGTTAGTCGGTAAGTGAGTGCTAAGGGAGGAAAATTCATTTATGTGTCTCAAAGAATTTATAATCACATAAAGTTTGTGCCTCCGTACTTTCCAAGAATGTTATCCACATGAGTGTATGATGTCATGCAATCAACATTCAATTCTTTTGCAGTTGAAGAGATAAGGAAATGGTCCCTATCCCCTGGGATAGTTTGAAAAAGTAAAGTTGAAAATATTGCTGTTTGGTTTTCTACCAGTGCTGTCTATCGGAATTAAGACTGTCTATCTGAACGTTGTGCAGGATGTTCAGTATTTAGAAAACTCCAATTCTGAGATCATGAAACTGTTGGACTAGAAGTAACATCTATATCTTAAGTTTGATAAAGCATTCATTATTGAAGCAATTGTTTAATGACTAAAGGAAGGACTTTGGTTAATTATTTCCACTCTTTTATTGATTTGAAAATTCTAATTTTCAGAAAAATCCACTAAAGAAAGTTTTGTAGTTTTTTTATTTTGTAGGAGGGTAGAACCCCTGTTCACCATGGGGGGGGGGAGCAGGAAACAACCCATGTTTCTCTGTGGTAACAAATATACATATTAAAGAATGGCATTGCATGAAATGGAATTGAACATTAAAAATCCTAGTGGTGGTGGAAAAATGTTAATAATACATGGTTGCTAAAATGTTTTCTTCCTAGGAAGGAATTGCTGTATATTCTATCAAGATCTGAATTTTGAAAATTTGGGTAGAGAACATCAGAAATATTGTTAAATTATAAATTATGGCTAACAGTGAGCTAATAAATATTTTATAGTAACCGTTATGGCTAGTATATGTGTCAGGACTTATACTGAGAACTTCATGTGTCACGATACCTAATTCACAGATAAGGAAACCAAGGCTCAGAGAGGTCAAGTTCTTTGTCCAAGTCATACAGCCTGTAAGATGTACTCAGAAATTCTGTAATGTTCCTATTGTAATCCACTGTTTTGTAACAAATTGAGGGCCTTTCCCTTTAGGGTGCTTGGTTAACATCTGCCTCTCTATGACCTTGTGCTCCATGCCATGGCCTGAAAACCCCTTTTACACTAGAGAAACTTTGCAGTGACGCATTGAAGCTCCCAACTTTGGACTTGAACTTTGTGTTCCATAGAAAACTCTATTGAACTTCAGTCAAAGCGCCACTCAGGAGGGTAAAAGAAGATTTGAGCAAAAATAGTTAATCTTTGAGATGTAAAAGAGGCACTGGATTTTGAAAAGAAAATATTTATTTTAGAATGTTTTAAATATAAGCAAAAGTGGAGAAAAAAGTACAATGAGCTCCCATGTACACATCTCTCTGCTTTGACAATTATCTTAATGCATCTGTTCAAATGTGTTCTGTCCACACTCCCCTTCATATTATTTTGAAAATGCCTCAGCTTTTTACTAATTCATCTTTCAATATTTGGCACATTTTTATATTTTTAAAAATTTCTTACATTATTCATTTTTATACAATATTTCATTTCTCCCCTCAGATGTAGTCCCCGTAATTCTCCCACACTCACAGCACCCAAGAGCGATCACCATAGTCCCTTGTTCTCTTTCCTCCCCTCCCCGTCCCCTGTTGTCACACACAAAAAGAAAAATATCAACTGGTTTCACTTGTAGGTAGAATATGGTGTGTATCTTTATAAGATTAAAAAATAAAAAAAGAACCTGATCACTGTGCCATTTTCAGACCTAATATTGTTAAAAATTCCTTGAAAGCATCAAATCATTTTTTAAAATGGTCACATCTCCTTGATTAACTCAGATTTTTTTTAAGTTCATTTAAAGCAAGATCCAAATAATACATACATATATTGTAATTGATTTTATGTCTTTTGTGTTGCCATTTCTCTTTTACCCCTTGCTAAAAAGCATTTTTTGTTATTATATAGAAGTTTTAAATATGAATTTTATTTCACCTTTGTGATGTCATGTGACATGTTCCTCTATCATCTGTATTTGTTCAAGATTTATAGGTAAATTTATAAACCTGGTTGGATTTAGGTATTTTTGTTTTTCAAGATGAGTTAGTGCTCTCATAATTTCTGAAAGTAACTATTGAAGTTTGTTTATATTTTGAACATCATTATTAACTGACATGTTTTAATACATTCAATATATTTAGTCATTTGCATTTATTTTTATTGCTTTAATTCTTCAGACTTTGACAATGGGAGCTTCTTCAAATGGATGCTTCTGTCACAATCCAGAAGTACCATTTCTCCATTTCTTTCCTCCTTCTTCCTGATATAAATTCTTTTAAAGATATATATGTAGAGAGAAAGAGAGGGAGAGAGAGATAGTATCGCTTTACAACACTGTATATGATTCAGAGGTTGAAGATCACGTCATCAGATGTATGTTACCATGTCACAGCTACATAAGCACCCATAGTTCTCCACCATAGTCCTTTAAGTCCCCTTAAACTTTGTTCCCACATCTCCTCCTCTTGCTCTGGTAGCTTCAGTTCTACAGTTGGAAGTCTAGAGTTTATTATTGGTTTGGGTTTTTCTGGCCTTTTGCTTTGTTCTCTATAGTCCACATTCCATGAAACCATGTTTTTGTCTTATTTCTTCTTGCTTATTTTGCCTATTATTATCCCCTCTAATTCTGCCCTTGTCACAATGGCAAGAGTTCACCCTTTTTTGTAGCTGCATAATATTCCTTTATGTATATGTTCCACATCTTTATCCACTCTTCTTTCACTGAGCACTTAGGTTGCTTCCATAACTTGATTATTGTAAATAGTTTTGCAGTAAATATAGGAATGCATATATCTCTTTGAATTAGTGGGTTTTTTTTTTTTTTTTTGCATTTTCCAGCTAAGAGTGGAATTGCTGGATCATATGGTAGATTTATTTTTAATGTTTTAAGAAGCCTCAGGGCTGTATTCCTTAGGGGCTGGATCAGTCTACATTCCTACCAAAAGTGTTTGTTTTTTCTCTTTTTCTTTTTCTCTTTCATTTGTTTTTAGTCTTTTTGATATGGGCCATACCCCCATAGATATGAGATCTCATCATGGTTTTGATTTGCATTTCCCTGGTGAGGAGTGATGATATACATTTTATCACATGCCTGCTGGTCATCTCCCTGTCTTATTTGGAGAAGTGTCTACCTAGCTCCTCTGCCTATTTCATTTAATTGGTTTTTAATTTTGCTAGGTTTTATTTAATTTGTTAAGGTTTAATTGAATTAGGTTGTTTTTGGTCATTGTCGAGCTCTGAGTTTTTATACATCTTGGATATTAGCCCCTTGTCAGATGTTTGATAATACACATATTTTCTACCATTTGCTAGGGTATGTTTTTGCTTTACTCATAGTTTCTTTCACTGAAGTACTGTGAAAGAGGGTCAATCATTGCTTTTAGGCTTTTCAGTGAACAGAGCACCCTGGCATCCACAGGTGCTGACTTAGGACTCTTCATTAAATGTTGTCACTCACAAGATGTCCACAGGCCACACACTTAGATTCACATTCCCTTACACAGAGACAGGACAGGAAACAGTTTAACAGCAAGTGGGCATTAGGCATTCCTCTTCAGTGGATGTGGTCCACAAAGCAGTTTTTATGTATTTAATGAGTCCCTCTGATTTTACCTCCCTTTCCAGGCAACAAGATTGATCTGGCTGAAAGGAGAGAGGTTTCCCAGCAGAGAGCCGAAGAATTCTCAGAAGCTCAGGACATGTACTATTTGGAGACCTCGGCCAAGGAATCAGACAATGTGGAGAAACTCTTCCTTGACTTAGCATGCCGCCTCATCAGCGAAGCCAGGCAGAACACACTTGTGAACAATGTATCCTCGCCCTTACCTGGAGAAGGGAAAAGTATCAGCTATTTGACTTGCTGTAATTTCAACTAAAGGCTGAGTGAGCAGCAGCAGAAAGAACCAACAGCTGCCCTGATGGATTACAGATTGCTGGGGAGATCTGGCGATGACTGTGGCTTCTGCTCTCTGCGGACCTTCTGTGGGTGCCCGAACTTACAAAGCATGGCAGGCCCAGAGCCTTGTCCACAGGCTGGCTTTAGCAGAACATATACTGGTTTCACCCTTTTGCAGGCTGGAGTCAGAGCAAGGAGAACATTGTACTTGCGGCTCCATGCTCTGCAGAGCATGTTTTTTTTTTTTTTTTTTTTTTTTTAAAGCAAGTAAAGGCGCATTCCTGAAGACAGTCCAGGGAGAACTTTACATAGGGAACCCCCTACACACCAGTGGTTGCATGTGGGGCGGTTCTCTAGGGCTTCGGGGAGCCCAGGTTTTCTTGTCTACTGGATAAACCAAAACTGGAAAGGCCAAGTACTGCCTCTGGTGTGTGTTGATGACTCCATGGAGATTTTCAAAAGTGTTATTTCTCTTATCCACAGGCACTTTCAAGAACTTTGGGATGTAAAAAATGAAATGAAACCTTTACCCATGACCAACAATAACAATCATTGTTTTAATAATCTATATGCCACTCCTCTTGGTGCTAATGATTCTGCTCTTTCACAGACCAAATGTTTTAGTACATTGATGTCCTTAAATGTATTAAATAGAAATTACAGAAACAAAAAACAGCAGGGGGAAGTCCATGAATCAGCACTCTTTCTCAAAGTCTCATTACTCCTTTTTCTAGGGTGGATTTATTGGCGAGGTAATCTGTTACCCTTTATATCCCCTCTAAATTTCTGCCATTTTCTTTTATTCTCCCATTTTGCCTGCCCTTAAGCAAATGAAAAGTTTGAAAAATGGGTGAAATGAATGGCTGATGATATGCTAACATAAAAGATTAGTTCAAAGACATTAGGAGTAGTTTGATAAAACAGACCTGATCTGACCAAAATACTGGGGGTGAGTGAAAGAGAGGTGCAGTGTTCTAAGCTGAACATCCTTGAGAGCCAGTCACGACTCTTCCTCCTGGTTCCACCCACCTTGGACAGACCCAGGATTTTGTACATGTTTTCAGTAGACGTGAGAATAGCAACAGATGAAAAGTCTCATGAACCATTTTTATTTTATCTTCAGTGATAATCTTAGAAAAATTTTGCTCGTGGAAGGTTAAACTGTCATTTGTCACCTCAGACTCATGTCCTATGTTCTGTTTCTTTTCTCTTTTCCTTCTTTCCTGGCCTTACCCCTTCTTTCTACCATTCTTCCCTCCCCACCTTTCCTGGGTTGTTACTGCAATCTCTTGCTCAGTTTTAAAACAGTAACACAAAATGGATGATGTGCTGCTTCTTTATGTGACTGCTTTTTTAGTGCCATCCTTTGATACTTTCTAGGTTTGTTCATTGATAGTAATACTAACTCAAAATAATTGAACCTGTGTGCAGATTGAAGCTGTCAGATGTTTCTGTAGCTTTCTGTAGCATAACTGAGGGATGAGTAATAGAATATGATTTGTAATTCCACTGCTGCTATGGATGTTGCGATCTTGACCCTGTTATGTTAATATCTGAAAATATTTAATTTTAAAGAAATGAGGTGTATCAAGACACAATACTGACAAAGCATTTGTAATATTTCTTTAGCAAGTTTCAGAGTGGCCAGTCCCTTGCTCATGGGCATAATTGCTTAAGGGATTGATATTTTGGGTGGCTGTTGCTGTGTTTGTTCTGATCCTATGGGGAAGAGTAAGAGATCCCTGATGTTTAAATTGCCTTTATTTTAGAACACGTCTCTACAGGAAAGAAAAATCATTTTAGAAAATTTCAGCCAAAATCTGTAATAGTAGTTGCTGTTCCCTTCCCAGTAAACCAGTAAGTAAAGGTATTCAGATAACAAGTCCAGGGTGGGCAGAGGAGCTCTTTTTAAGCTGTAGGAAATTGTCCCTAGGTTTAACTTTATTATCTTTAATTTAGGTCCCAAATCCAGTTACCCCTGCATGTCATGACCGAACCTTTTCTCACAGCAGCAAGTGTCTTGAAAATAAAATTGCTTTGTAAACTTAGAGGAAAGGACTTCATTAGATTAGACAAATTTAGTTGCAAAATAACAGCTTCTAGCTCCATACTTGCATTCTGAAATTCCTATTCCCTGGGCCTCAGCCACCACTATTACCCTTGACCAGTTGCAGAAGGGGATTCAAAAGCTCTGCTCTTGGCCCCTTTTCCTGTTACTCCTCACAGCCTTTCTGTAATTTGCAATCACCCATCCATGGCTCATTAGCAGGTTAGCATGAGAACATAGGGCTTTTTTCCCCTTAGATGTGTGAATTCCAGATTAGGCCTTATATTCACTGAGGTATCTCAAGTTTGAGAATAATCCCTGACAGTATTGTAGGTACTCATTAAAAATTAGTTGAATAAATGACTTAGTGCCAAGAAGAGCTTCTCCAGTTAAATAGCAATTCACAATTAGAATTTAAAGGAAGAACATTAATTAAATCTGGTCATTTTAACCCAGCTAGAACCTAAACTTACTGACTTGCCTATTAGATCTATTGTTTTGGTAATATTTACTAAGAAGCACTTTCATAAATAAAATTTCTCATTTTTTGGCGGATGCAAAAGCGAGTTGCTTTCTCATACTTCAGCTTCACTTGGTCTGACTAATGAGAATACCAGAATCCATGTCTGCTTCCATTTATGGTATGGTTTATTTTGCTCTTTTAATAAAGTTACTAAATATATGGCCAAACTTTTCAATTTCCAGTGACTGTGCTTCATGTTCATGTCATGGAGTCAGGTTTGGGGGAAGCCATGAAATCATTTAATTTGCTGATAATCATATTTTATTATGACTTTGTGTAGATTGTATCCTCACAGGTGGTTATGCTTTCTCCTTTCTCTGTGCAAAGTATTTTACTCCTTTACATGCTTTTGTTATACCTATTTGATTATGTTTTTAATTATAGACACTATTGATTATGTTTTAATTATAGACACCATTATCCTTTCTATGGATTACTTAGATTAGACCGTTGACTTTTTCTGTTCTTTCTCATGTTTGCATCTCCCCTTCAGTAAAGTGGCAAGAACTAAAAATGGAAGTGCAATGGGTTGACTTGACAATGTGTCTATTTTTGATTTAGAGTTTGGTAAGAAAGATAAAATTCACTGACCAAAATAAGCTATTAGAACTAGTATTATTTACTTTAAGCTCTTTAGGCATGTTGGAGTAAGAAGGCAGAGTTTAATGAAAGTCTGAATTCTTTTTTCTTCTGTTCATGATATATGACATTGGAGGACACAGGTGACCAGTGTTAGAGCAATGATTTGACTCATTTACCCTTTAAACTATTCCCTGCTCCATCTAGATTCAGCATCAGCTTTCAGTTAAATAATAATTGTGAAAAAGTACCAGTTGTGAGTGATTTTGAATTGGCCTTCTGATTAAAGTGAAAACATCCTTTTAACAAGACCAAGCCACATGAATATTTCTTCTTATAACCAGAAAAAACAAAAAAAACTGCTTAATTTTTTCCACATATCAAACCAATGACTTTAAAGGGAGACATTTTCCGTTTCTTAATCCTTTAGATCTTTTCAGACTGTATTTTGTGGTCATAAGTTCTTCAGGGACTTTTGTCTCTGTCCTATTTTCTTCTAGGTTCTGACATTTCTTAATTTCTAGATTTTTTTTTTTTACTGCAACTGGTTTCTTACTTTCCCTGGCTCTGACAGGAATTATGTATGTGTTTTTAGATTTAATTGGCCTTATAAATGATTCATGAATTGGACAGCATCTCAACTAGATGCTCCCTGACAATCAAGAGAAACATGTATTTCATCATTCAAGCAAAATGTACAGTTGGACACCAATTTTGATTAAAACAATATGACTTTTTGTGACAGGAGCCTATTGATGTTTGGAAGGAAAGCTGTCTTCTCTTACATTTTTTACCCTGGGTGGAGAGCATACTAAATTAAGTGCTTATTCCTTCAAACAGATAATTAATATAAGTTTTTATATGGGAGATAACATTTGATATTCTTTCTTAAGTCTAAATGTTGGAATATTGCAAATATTTTTAGGAACCAAACTCTGAAACTAAACACAAACTGAAGCATAACAAAGATGGTGAAGGAATTTAAATTTTATGACATCTGAAGAATATTTGAAGAACTTGGGAGATTTCACCTGGGAAATAGAGAGAGGAATACAGTTAGGACATTGGGAGCAATACATGGTGGCTCAAAGGTGTGGATGAGACTCAAAGGATAGAGGTCACAGGTTTGGGCTCTATGTCAGGGAGGACTTTCTCCCCAAGCTGGTTCATCATGGAAGGGTGCCGCAGGTACAGTCTGTGTCAAGCAGAGGCTGGGGTAAGAACTCAGCAAAGATGATGTGGAAAGGATCCCAGTTGGTTGGGGGTTAAACCAGAGGACTTAATGACTTAAAAGTCTATGTTACTGCACTTTGCCTCTCATCACCTGCTAGATATGTTACCCATAGTTCATACTTTTTTAAGGTTTTGCTCTTCTACTGCAAGTCTATCTTACCTTCCATAGAGAGGCTATTTGTCAGGTGCTCTTAGCTCCAAAGACTGGGAGCTCAGTCTTGTTGAAATCTTGAGTTAAAAATTTTAAAGAGGTATTCTTTTAGTAAAGTTTTAGTAAAGTTACATAAAATCATGGAAATTTTTGCCAAAAATAAATCATGTTTAGTTAAGTGAAAAATTGGTGTGTCTTCAGGACTTCAGGATAGGCCTTTTTAGCCTAAAGAGAACAGTAGTTTCAGTTAGAGTCCATTATATACTGACATAAAGTTTTTCAGCTCCTATATCAGAAATGAGCTGGTGAATCACTAGCATAAAGTAGTCCACAGTATCTATTTTGGAAACTTCTCATGAAATTTGATTTGTTAGTTTCACTCTCTTGCAAAAACATGATCTGAAAATGATTTTAGCAGAACTGAGGCCAAACTGCTCATGTAGAAAGGAACAAAACACACAGCTTTGAAATTAGGGATATCTATAAGCAATACTTGCAAATAAGGTAAATACCCAAATGAGTTCATTTGCAAAATAATTTGCATCCTTGGTAGACTTATAGATGGCTCTATCTTAAAAAAAAAAAAGAAGTCTTGCATAGTGAGAAATACAAGTTTGAGCAAGACCTTCTTTGAATTCTTTGTTCAAACAATTCAGTGGATAACTATGGATAAGAGAACAAAAACTAGCCACCACTTCTTTAACTGGCCTTCTGAGGTAGATGAGTCAAAATTTACTTTCCCACTAAGTAAAGCAGAACTTTTTGAGATGTTATAGTTTAGTCCCTTAGGGACTGTGACTGACACTCGAGATGGTGAAGTAGGGAAGTGTGAAGAAGGGGAAACACTGGTCAGTGTTGCCAAGCACCAGATGTGACCTTATACAAAGTGCAAATCTCTTGAATACCAGTTGTCTGTTATAGAATCATAACAACTGTCAGGATTATTGTAAAAACTAGATAAATGGAAAGTTAGTAAAGTGCTTGGTAAACAGTAAGTATACAAATATTTATTTTCTTCTTTATTAAAAGCATACTTTGGATCATCTTGACAAGTCCTAAGGAGGACAAAACAAAGGTTTCTTTTTTGATGTCAAAGAAAAGAGTTGCATTTCTGAAAAGGCCATAAAGGAATCTCTCATTTGGTCCATTCTTCTGCCTTTGAGCATTACTGTTACCCAAGAGACTCATATGTCAAGAAAGATACTCCTTCCCTCTCTTTCCCAATAGGCACTTCCAAGGGTTGTGAAACTCTTCATTATCAGGAAACTTACCCTTTTCACTGAAATACCTCACAGTGCAATTTAGACCTCTTTCTTCTTGATCCCATTGCCATGTGAATGAAAATGGGTTGATCCTATCTTACTTTTGGGGGTCATGTCTGCCATTTATTGACCATTTGCCTTTTTTTTAAAGGTCAAGAAAAGCTCATTAAGGTGATAATCATTATTCTGTTGAGGAATATCAGGCAAGGCATTTATAAACTCTTTGCTCTTAATTGGTATTAGATTTATACCCTAATTTTACTGTTGACTAACTCTTCAATTATACATGTATTTTTCTTCATTAGCTATAATCGACAACTGCTTCTGAAGAACTCTTCTGGTTGTGGCTTTTGTCTCCTTAATAAAAATGGAGTCATGAACCCATTTTGTTACCTGCTTCTAGAATTTATGACATGAGTGGATGGACATTACCACCAACAATCAAACTTAGCAAGGTTCCTTCCCCTTTCTATGTGTGCATTAAGTGCTGAAATAAAAATTGGTGTGCCAAATGCCTAATAAAGCAAGAAATCATGTACAGTGACATAAAATAAAAATTTGGTCTGTTAGGAAAATTTGCCCTTAGTTGGTACACAATTTTTGTTTAAGGCTACACAGTTCGGCTTGGATTAAATACCAAGAGCAAACTTGATAAACTCTTTGAAAAATAGCTTCTAAAACATAATACTTCTGTTGTGTAATCATTAGAAATAAATATTCTCTTGCCCCATAGAATTGCAGAGTGCTAGTGGAATTTTCTGGTAGGCTATTAAATCTGAATGTCACTTGATTCATTAAATTTTTTAAAATTCTCTTATCCTTTAAGGTGTGTTGGGACTTTATGTCCCTGTTGTAGAAAATTTTAAATGACTCGAATGCTGGTTTCTAGTTTCTGCTCACTGCAGTGTCCTCTAGAAACCTCGGTGGTTGGAGCTCTCTGATGATAGGTAAGGGAGCTATGTAATAATGTATTTGGATTAGTGTGAGTAAAGTTACTGTTTTCATCAAAAAAAAGTTTGAAATTTTAAATAATAAAGGGGTTAAGAAGAAATTTTTGATAATCTAAAAAGAAAAATGTGTGCCCAGATGTATTATTGCACACAATTTAATGCATGACTTTTAGTATAGGGATGAAATCAAATGAAAAAATATATAATTTCGAAGGTCTTCTCAGCAGCTAGTTAACATATTTAGAGAAGCTGTTTCAGGAAGACAGAGAATCCTTGATTTCCCTTCCCCTATCATTTTCCATTAAAACATGGAACTTAAATATAAAGTTTTAACACAAATGTTAATTATCAAAATTTATAAACTCAGTTCTTAACATGTTGGTTGTAAGCATAGGCTCTCAGCAATATCTGACTATACCAGTATGAAAAAATATAACCATCAGCTTCAATGTAAACATAAAACATGACTTTAAATGCAGATATTAACAGTGCTCTATATTATGCTTCATGTCTTTACATTGTTTTTTGATGTTAGAAATATAAGCCCATGATATGAGTGGAATTAGATGAAAATATTATGTAGGAAGGTGTGAAAACTTCAACATTAAGATATGGGGAGAGGGAAAGAAAATGAAACAAAGTATTTTTAAATGAGGTTGCATCACTCCTGTAGAAGGTGAGATATAATTCACACTATACCACCTACCCCTTTAAAGTGTCCAATTCAGTGTTTTTTTTCTTTATATTTTCAAGAAGTTGTATGATATCACCACTTTCTCCAGAACATTTTCATCATTTCAAAAGGAAACACTACCTACCGTCTCTCGCCCTATTCTTCCCCCAGCACCTGGCAGTCTAATCTACTTTTAGTTTCAATAGATTTGCCTATGTTGGACATTTCATATAAATAGTACTGTACAATATATGCTCTTTTGTGTCTGGCCTCTTTTACTTTGCATAATGTTTTTACAATTTGGGTAGCTCAAATTATTTTATGGCAAAATAATTTTCCATTGTGTGTATATACTATATTTTATTTTCCAATGATCAGCTGGTGGACATTTGGATTGCTTCCACCTTTGGGCTATAATGAACGATGCTGCTATGAATATTGTGTACTAGTTCTGTGTAGGCATATGTTTTCAGATCTCTCTTAAAATCAACTAATCTAAGCAAATGAAGTCATCTGTGTTCATTTAGCACACCCTCTTAAAATCCTACTTAAGGAATGCAATTTATAATCTTAGACTGATTAATTAAGAGGTCCCTGAATAGTGACTAACTCCCTTAGATGTTCATAAGAATTTTTTATGATAATCAATTTCATAAACACTGCTTTGGTCTTGTAGAAATTGAGCTGTCTTCACATCGAGAATTCCTAAAGTCCTCTGTTTTAAAGACAGCTGGAAACCATGTTGAAAAGGCGCCCTCACTATGTCTCCGAGGATTCAATGAAGGAGCACTTTTAATATACATTTTCTTTTATATAGAGACTGTCTTTTAAAGTTTGGATTTTCCTTCTTGAAATAAGGTTGTAAATTGCCAAACCACCTATCTATCATAGCTTAAGTTTTTATTATTAAGGAATAATTCATACTGAGAGTCAAAGTAAAAAGAATGTATTTTGTGTGCAAAGGATGAATGTATTAATAACTTTTTATTTGTAAAAAAATTTTTAAAAAGATGAATGAAATTGTTTTCCCATGTACTTGTATATAAATAAACATTTGTTGCTCACATTTGGAGGATACTATGCCATTAAAGTATGTAAAAAACAAGTAAGCTACTAGCAAGCTAACACATAACATGTGTTCTGGGTTTGGGAATCTGGAGACCTGAGTTTGAGGGTTGATTCTCTAAGCTTGAATTATTCATTTGACATTTGCACTGCGGCTTTCTCCTTTGTAAAATTAGAGGGTAAACTGAGTAATTATTTTTAAAGTTTTAATTTATGGATATGGAACTGGGGTACAAGCCAGAGGTGCAGGGCAGTGAGAAGACTCACCAGAGACAGAGAGGGAGGCAGAACAGGCAGATCAGCAAAGTGCACTGCTGAGAGGAGCAGCAGGCTGGTCAGGTCTGCTGCATCATGTGGATCATCTCCGGGGCAAGGGGTCGAACTCTCCCTGAAGCAGCTGCAGCTAGCTTGCAGTGCTGCATCCTAACCCATTGTGCCACCAGGGAATGCCCCAAATTGAGTAATTTTTAAGGCCTCCTCCAATTATATGATGCTGTGAAAGACTTCCCCTGTATTCAGGATGTTATAATTATTTCTAATGGTGAGACAGATGCTTTATCTTTTGAGATGGTGAATGAAGAATTATACTGAAAATTGGGATTGGAAAATTCTAGTCACAGGTTGACACTGACAAGCTGTGTGACATTGGTAATCAATTAATTTCAAGCCCTAATATTCCCATCTACCAAATTTGTGCACAAGATTAGATTACTTTAAAGCCCCTTTCAGCTAAAACATTATATAGTGACATATTCTTAGGAGATGTCATTTGAGATCATTAGCTCTTATAGTTAGGTATAAGACTACCTATTCATCATTAGTAAGGCATTCATTCATTCATACACCATTTTATTGAGCATGTACTATACGGCAGATGTTAGAATATGCTTTTAGATGTCTCCTACTTCAAATGAAGAAAACACAGATTTGTTCATCCTCATCCCAGATGTGGAGCTAAAGGAACCCTCTTACACTGCTGGTGGGAATGTAAACTGGTCCAGCCACCATGGAAAGCTGTAGTGAGATTCCTCAGAACACTAAAATGGATCTACCATATCATTCAGTGATTCCATTTCTTGGAATCTACCCAAAGGACACAAAACCACTAATTTTAAAGGAAACCTGCACTCCTATGTTTATTGCAACACTATTTACAATAGCCAAGATATGCCCCAAAATAGATGAATGGATCAAAAGGTTGTGGTATATTTATACAATTGAATATTACCCAGAGGTCAACATAAAAAACAAAACAAAAAAACTCATGCCACCTGCAGTGACATGGATGGAGCTAGAAGGGATAATTATGCTAGCCAGAAATAGTCAAAAGGAAACATAAAATACTGGATGGTCTCATTTACCTATGGAATATGGAGAAACTAAATAAAAGGTCAAAAAAAAAAAAGGTCAAAACTAGCAAGTTGACCATAGAATTGAAGCATACAGCAAAGGAGAGTATGGTAACAGACAGGGTTGAGCACAAGAGAATATGGTGATGGTTCACAGGTGATATGGTAGCAGGAGAACTATAGGGACTACAATAATGTAAGAAAAAAATAAAATCTATAAACTAACAAAAAATATTTATCCTCATCCCACCTTTTACCATGGAACATGCACCTGAGAGAGGATTGTCTTGGATTAAGAATGTGTACAGTGGGTTATGGAACACAATAGTTAATAAATTAAACTGTCAAGGGGATTAAACCTAAAGCTCTGAGGCCCCTGACATGGTGTTCTTCAGTTAACTGGGCATTGACAATCTGTAATGTATAAAGTACAGAACTTTGCAAAATCACATACTACATATTTTTAATCACTGGCAGCTTTTCTGCAGTTGGTATGAAACTTAATTTTCCACCTTCATGACAAGAAAAGCTTTGTAGAAATTTCTCTCCTGAATTCACACAAGCTGTGGTTTTTCATGTTCTATTATTGACACGAATCTGAACCACATGAAATTGTATTTTTGTAGGTCAAGACCAGTCATTTTGTGTGTGTGTGTGTGTGTGTGTGATTTTAGCATTACCTATTAAGTCATAAACAGCAAATACTGAAACACTGGGAGGCAAATACTGAAATACTCTTAAGTGTTTTATTCTATTTTGTTTTGCTTTGGATTTTTGCCACTAACAAATTTGAAGAAACTATTCACCTTACACTTTTTCCCATTAGTTAAATGGGACAAATTTCAAACATGAAAATAATTTGTGTACAAGTCATTTTTTATGTACAAATCATTATGTATCATTGAATAAAAGTATAAATATGGTTTATTCTGCAAGTACCTAGTGTTTATATCACTGTGCTCTTTATTTGGGCAATGTCTTGCTTCAGATACATAATTCTTTAGCAATCTGTAAAAGTGTAAAAATCTTGAGGGTCACTATCATTAATTGCCTCAGCTATTTCACATCAGACTGATAGACTGTGCCTGATACATTGTATAAAATATGTACTATAACACACACACACACACACACACACACACAAACACACACACACCCCAAATACAGATCTGCAGCTGAGAGCTGAAACGTGGAACTATGTTTAAACCACAACTATGTGGCTATGCTTTTGGCCAGATGTTCACCTCTGAATACTTCAAGAACTAAAATATCTTATTTCCATTACTTGCTGGAAGTCACATGTTAATAATGTAAGACATCTTATCTAAATTTTCATACCTGGAATTTATTCAGGCTTCCCACATTGAGATAAAAAAATTAAAAACAAAACAAAACAAAAAATCCAAGCTTACCAAGCTTGTAGAAAAGGCTAGTCCTGACTTTGATCTTAGAGATGATACCACAAGAACAACTGTATGAGGTCTAACACTACACAAAATATATTGATGTTCACCTTGACCTTTAATCCTCACCGTAACCTGAAATGCTTTCAGCAGCAAGAGTAGAAAGTGTAGTTTTTGATGGAAGACAGAGATTGAGATCTTGCTCTGAACATGGCAAGTATTCTAAGCAAAAGAAATGAAGAGTATAAAGGCTGCATACCAAAGTATCTGTAGGTAAGGATCTCAGTAGGTAAGCATCTATATACTGACTAGTATTCTAGTCACTGGAATTATAGCAGTGAACAAAATTTCTAAAAACAGTTTCAGGAAAATTACTTCATAGTATGGAAAATTTCTTCATAGAAACACATTTATATCAGGTAGATATAACTACAATGGAGAAAATAAGGTATGGCAAGGAAGAGAAGCAGTGATGTGGGAAGTTGCTGTTTTACAGAAGCTGGCCAAGGGGAGTTCCTATTGATAATGTGTTACTGGAAAGGAAGGACCTGAGGAAATAAGAGGGGGAGGTGTGCATGTCTTGAAGTGCCAGGTCATTTTTTTTTTAGTATTTTATTATTTTTGCGTAGAACTGGGGTGTAGGACAGAGGTGCAGAACAGGCAGATCTACTGAATTACATTGTTAAAGGGACCAGTAGGGAAGACAGAAGTCTGTTGTGCCGTGTGGGTCAGCTCCTAGGCCTTGGTGGTGGACCTTCACAGTAGTAGTGCTGAGATTTAACCTGTAGGTCACCAGGGAAGCCCCAAGAGTTAGGCACTTTTCTAGGCAGAAACAGGGAGCAGAATGTACAAAGGCCTTAAGGTGAAAGGATTCCAAGAAGTCCACAAGATAATGAGTGGAGAGAAAGATTTGAGGCAAATGGTAACATAGATCATAGCATCTCAGGGGTCAGCACAGGGACTTTGGATTTGGCTTAGAGACAACCCTTGGAGGGTTTTAAATAGAGGAGTGATTTGGCATATTTTAACAGGACCACTCTGCTTTGTTGAGGAAAGGTTATAAAGGGCCAAGGCAGAAGTTCACTTAGGGAGATCATTGATAGAATACAGATGAAAGGTAACTTGGACCATAGGAGTAGATGTGGAGGTTGTAGCAAGTGCTTATTCTGGTTACATTTGACTTTATTATAGAAAATTTCAAATATAGATAAAAGGAGAATAGTATAAGGAACCTCTTAGCACAGATTACCCTCCAAGTCATGGTCAATATAATTTCATATGTATTTTCAACATTAATTTTTGTATGATGTCGAAGCAAGGCCACAAATTTCACAGCTTAGAATTTCGTCTAGAAATATCCTAGTATTGGACCCTCTCTGGTGGTGCAACAGGTTGAAGCACGACACTGTGAGGTTACTGCAGCCACTGCAGCATGAGTTCGATCCCTGGCCAGGGAGGGGACCCACATGGTGTGGCAGACCTCTCCTGGCCTGCTTGCTGCTCCCCTCAGCAGTGTATTTCAGTATATCTGCCTGTTCTGCTCCCCACTCTGTCTCTGGAGAGTCCTCTCAGGCCCTGCACATCTGGCTTTTACCCCAGTTCTGTATGCATAAATAAATTAATTATAAAAAGAATCCTAGTATTACTAAAAGTTTTAAAATAACCACTCCAATCTAAAGTTTTAAATACTTTTTCAAATCCATAGGGTTTTAAAAAAACTTTAAAATTTTTAAAAACTGGGTTTTTTTTCCTTCTTCTTTAAACCAACTAAGCATTGCGGTACTCCAACTTTGGTCTGGCTGACAAAGAACTAGCAAGAGACAGAAACACATGACAGCAAAATAGAAAAATGAGTTGTTCTGAATGCCTAATGAAGAAATTATTTCAAGGAGGCTGTGATCAACTGTGTCAGATGTTGCTGATTAAGAAGGTCCTCAGCTTAAGAAATGACCTGGATTTACCAGTATGGAAGTCATATTGGTGACACTGAAAGTGAAGTGATAGGGATGAAAGAACACTTCTTGGAAGTTCAGTTAGAAGAAATGGAGGGTGATTACAGTATAAGCTTAAGGAATTTTTGCTGATTAAGTATGTTCAATGGAATGTGAGATGACAAGCACTTTGTTTTTAGAGCAGAATTTATTAGCACTGATGGGAATGATCATGAAATGATTTATGATAGAAGGAAGATAGTATATGTGGTGATTTCTGAGTATACAAGGGGAAAGATGAGTACCATTAGACAGTTTATATAAATAAGGAGGAATGCAGGACATATGGGCATCTCTATGTAAAATATTGACCATGTGAGATAACATAGGTACCTAAAATATAGAAGGTGATACAATTGTTAAGTCTCTTTCTGGGTGTTGTGTTATTTTTTATGTAAGAGTAACATTAACAAGTCACAAACAGCTGTTTTACTAACCAGGGATTCGTTAAAAGCAGAATTGTTTGGCCTTAGAAAATTGTGTAGGCAGTATTTGGGTGGATGACTGATGGTATTCGGTATATAATACAAGTGGTATATAGTTAGGATTATTTGGTTATATGTAATAAAAAAAATTGTAAGAAAACAGAACAGAGTTGCTTTTTCTCATGTAAATATATGTCTAGTGGCTGGTAGCCTGAGATTAGTTACTGTGGTATAATGGTGTCTGTAGTTACCTGCACTTTCTATTTTCAAGATCACCTTATTATCCAACATGGCAGCTGGAACACTAGTCATCTTGTCCTAACAGGCAGGAAGGAGGAAGGGCCAGCTCCTTTTATTCAAGAGACTTCTTTAGAAGTCCCATTTTTCCACTTATGTTTCTGGCCAGAACTTGACTTGTAAGGAATACCAGAGAATGTAAATCTTCCAAAAGGGCATACTGCTCCCCTGACCAGGGTTTTATTACAGAGAAAGGACCAGGGAATAGTTATTAGGGTAGCCTGTCAGCAGTCTTTCCTGTGGTGTTTGTGGGAAGAACATGGATTTAGAGACAGATGACATTTTTGAACTCTAGCTCTGCCATATACCTATTGTGACCTTGAACAGTAATTTTGTCTCAATTTTTGCTTCTCTAAAATTGAGCTAATACCACCTACTACATATTATTTTGAGGGCTAAATATCACAAGTGCCATAGTGTCTGGCATATAGAAAGTCATACTACATATATGAAATAATTTAGCAGGCATTGCAAAATGGTGTCAATCTTTTCAGGTTGCTGCAAGAAAAGACTAGATGACTGACAGAAACAAGAAATTTACTTCTCAGTTATAGAGTGGGGAGTTCAGTCAATTTGCGTGCAGATTGTGTCTGGTAATTCTGCCTCCTGATTGCTGTCTTTTAGCTGTGTCCACACATGGCAGAGTGGTGAGATTTCTGTGACTTTTTAAAATAAGGGCACTTATTCCATTCACGAGGACTTCTTCTTTATGACCTAATCACTGTCCAAAGGCTCCACCTGCAGATACAATCACACTGGACACTGTTGAACATATAAACTCGGGGGAGGGGATGAAGAAAGGGGATAGTCACATTCAGTATGGTGTCTAGTTAATCAGGCTGAATTATAGGTAACCATATGTACACTACCTTTATCAAATAAGAAAGAACAAAAGACCAAGGAGAGTGTAACACTTTGTCAAAGGCATTTATTAATTCCAGGTTCAATCAATCATGTCCATCTGCCCTGTTGAATTTAATATTTGTTTGAATGCTTTCAATCAGTCCCTTCATCTGGTACCAAATTGCAAACTCTGAGCCAAGTAACTGGTTAAGACTTGCTAAACTATGGCTATTTACCAAACAAAGGATCTTAAATTTAGAGCTTCAGAGTAGAAAAATACTTTTAGGTTCAAAATACAATATGTTCCAGCCACTATTGCTTTTTAGGTGTCTTTTAAGCCATCTTGGATAATATGTTTTCATTAGGTTCATTTTGTAATCATTGTTGTCAGAATCAGTAGCTGGTCTAGAAGCACCTACATCTGACTTACAGGCACTGTTATGTCTATCCACTCAGGCCCTGAGCTTTTACAGTTTCTAAATACAAAATGAAGAATTCATTGGGTAGGCATGGATTTTGCATGTCATGAGTTATTCCAATTCAAGGCAGGCAAGGGATGGACCAACACTTGGCTCTTGGAAGTGTTGGTGTGTCTAGTCAGCAGAAAATGCTTCTACCAGTGAAGGAGTTGTGAGGAAATGAAGCCAAGCTTGTCACACACTTAAGCTTGTCACCAAAAGAAAACTCAGGAAACAGACTGGATCCTACTAGGGAAAAAGCCGTATTTTTTTAAGAGTTCATTTCTCTCCCATGTAGACAATTCTCTTATCATATCGCAAACTACTTTAAGTTCAAAATACAAGAAATAGATCAGACAAAAACACTGCATAATATTTAACCTACCTTTGACCTTACTCAAGTCCACTGCTCACAAAGAAATGCCTGAGAGATGAGACTCAAGTGCTGCCAGTACCCCCTGAGGCAAGACAGTATATTGGAAAAGTCAGAGCGTGGGCCCTGCCACCTTTTAGTGATATGGCCCTGGCCTTGAGTGAGTTACATTATCTTTGTAAACTCATACCTTCTAGGCTACTTACAAGGGACAAATGATTAAGTATGTAAACTATCTAATTAAGAGGATTGGTCCAGAGATGCTCCTTGTCACTGTCTTTTGCTTCTCTCATTACAATGTTCATTCTTACACGTTTAAAAAAAAAACAAAAACTGAAACACATATAGAAAAAGGTATCATGTAATAAACTATTATAAGATAAAAACATCTTCAGATTTGAGTCAAGAAATGAGACTTCGTCAACTCCTTCCTCAAAGAAACAGCTATCTTGACTTTCATAGCAAGTGACACAAAAAAGTGTGCATTTTAAAACATTAGTTTAGTGTTGTCCATTAAAAAAAAAAACTGTCTTTTGATTTATAGTTTCCTCCTCCCACTATTTCTTTTTCTTATAATCAAGAAGATGCACTGTTTGACAAGTAGTTTTTCATGAATTTTGCTGATTTCATTTTTAAGGTGCAAGTCTGCCTGTTTTTTTTTTTTTTTTTTTTTGGGGGGCAGCTGTATATTTTGTGAATGGACAGCTAGAATGAGTCATGATTAAATAGGTTTATCCCTTTGATAAGATTAAGAGTGACACATTATTTTGTGAGGAAACATAACCTCCGGTCTCTTTCTGGAATATTAGCAGCCACAGATGCTCAATGAATACACCCACTATTCACTAGGAGTTGTAAAATGGTGATAATTCCATTTCTATCATCTGAGAAATGTATTAACTGGAATTTTTTTTATAAAGAGAACTTCTCACTTCTTTAGTTATTCAATAGTAGGAGTTCATATAAAAGTAAGATAACTATTTCTTTCCCTTTGTTTTTATGTTTTTCTAGTAATGAATTAGTTTTCTATCATCAATTAAAGGTGATTTGTTTTTAAAATATCATTATGAACTCGTGAAATATGTATAATTATGTATTTTTAAAATACCATGTTTTGTACTTTTTTTCCAACAGATTTTGTGCATCCCTCCAGCAATTTTCTACACATGTAAAATCACCTATTGACAGATATTTGCTTCACCAATTTGCTATTCAAATAATGCTGTATGGAATATCTTTTATACTTCCTTATATAGACCTTTATGGGGTAACTTCTTAGACATGGAACTGCTGCCTTTAAAAGGCACATAGATTTTCTCCCTGGTGGTGCAGCGGGTTAAAGCACAGCACTAAGAAGCTAAAGCCACTTCCGCATGAGTTCGACCCCTGCCCCGGAGGTGGCCACATGGCTTGGCAGACCTCTCCTGGCCCACCCGCTGCTCCCCTCAGCAGTGTACTTCCATGATCTGCCTGCTCTGCTCCCCACTCTGTCTCTGGTGAATCCTCTCACTGCCCCTGAGCCTCTCGTCTGTACCCCAGCTCTGTATGCATAAAATAAATAGATCTTAAAAAAAAAAAAAGGCACATAGATTTAAAAATTTTCAGATAGGCCCTCCCTGTTGGTGCAGTGGGTTAAAGCACAGCACTGAAAAGCTAAAGCCACTTCAGCATGAGTTCGATTCCCGCCTGCCCAGAGGTGACCACATGGCATGGCAGACCTCTCTTGACCTGCCCGCTGCTCCCCTCTGCAGTGTACTTCGTTGATCTGCCTGTTCTGCTCCCCACTCTGTCTGGTGAAGCCTCTCGCTGCCCCTGAGCCTCTGGCCTGTACCCCAGTTCTGTATGCACAAATAAATCTTTAAAATTTTTTTTTTTTCAGATAAAGCCAAATTGTTTTCTATAGAATTCACACCCGATACTTTATCATCAATATCCATGATAAAGTATTTCAAAACTACTTTGGGTTCTTTAGGGGAGAAGGATGGGATCTAGAATAAGGACTGAGTTTTAGTAGAAAACTGATGAGATAAAGGTGATGGAAAACTGATGAGATAAAGGTGATGGTGGCCACAAGGAGTGGGTAAAAGTTAAAAATTAGCAGATGCTAATTTGAAATGATATCTAAGGGATAAAGGAGTAGGTGGAAACAGACTATTCTTATACTGACAGGTGTGCTGGTGTGAAAGGAACACTGATGGAGATGGCAGGGACCAGGTTCAGTTGTTATCGTATCTCTCACAGCAGCCTTAAGAGGTATTATTTCCATTTTCCTGAAAGAAGGGGATCTGGGTTAACAATACCTTCTTCACAAGATGGTATGAGTGTTACATGAAATAACATATGTGCCATCATATGTTGAGGGCTGTAATCTCAAACTAGCACAGTGTCAGGTACATTCTTGGAATGCAGTGAACAATCTGGTAAATAAATGCCTTTTAATGAAAGATAGAAGGGTCTGACACAGGGTCTGTACATAAGTATTTGCTCCTGAAATGGTTACTGACTCTTTCAAAATGAGTAAAACAAGTCTGGTTGGTCACAATACCACATAATATTCTTGGACCTACATATATTTTGTCATCTAGTTTGCCTTTTAGAAAATCAGTTAAAATGAAAAATGTAGATGTGGAAAACTACACATCTTAAATTACTCTTTTAAATTTTGTAGTCTATATTTTGTTTTCTTTAGTAAACACCAGGGAAATAAAAAAAAGAGTTTATATTTATACTTTTACATATCCTTTTTACTAATTATATCATAGCAACTGCTTAATGAACTGAGGCTAGAGTAGATTTTAAGGTTTATATACACTGATTTATTTCACACCCTTTCAAAAACAGTTGAAGGCATTTTTACAACAAAGGGCACTTATATGTGGCTTAATACATAGTAATACACAGTATGTGGCTTAATATATAGCAGGAATTTTCTGGTGTAAGCTGATCTATTAAGACTAAGTTTTGTTTTTGGTTTGCAAAGGTTTTATTTTTAAATGTACATGTGTTTTTAACAAATATTTCTCACAAGCAAAATTAACAATATTACTAAAGATAATCAACCATACAGGATAAAGTGCCAAGTTAACCGAATTGGAGTATTCTGGAAGAGACAGGGGGAAAAATGGCTTTATAACATTTTAAAAGGGATAGTACCTCTTTTCTATTTATTTCTTTTTAAGTGTTCAAAATGGAAAGAATGCTTACTAAGCCACTGGAGTACAAGTTTCCAAACAGACTTAGCTTTATATATCCAGCAATTGACTCAGGTGGCTTTTTGGGAAAATAATTCAGGAGACCAAGCACCTTTATTTTCAGATACTGAAAATGGCCAATTTTCTGAATATGGAAGATAACACTTGATTTCTGAACAAGAACCAAGTCCTAAAACTGACCCTTTGGAAATCCAGTCTGAATTTGGACTTAACTCCTTAATTAAATGTTCTTTAGTTCTTTCTTTGGTATATTTCAGTTTCTTTCTTGGTAACTCTTTTGAAACAGGAGAATTACAGGCAGCAAGGCACCTCCTCAAACCCCTGGTTTGCAATTCAAGAATTTCTGAAAGAAATCTTTTCTCTGTGGAAGGAGGGACCCATTCATCGGTATCAGTTTCAAGGCACCCACAAGTAAGACAGCTGTTCACATCCACTGGCTGTCTGATACTAGATATTATAGGACTCATGGACTTCTGCCTGGGTGTTTTAATATTTTCTGGATAGTTGGAGATAGCTTGCTGTTTACTGTCAGAGAAAGTCCTTGTTTTACTGTAGTTAGTATGAGTACTTGAATACAAAGCAGGTAATTTTTTAAAAGCCCTTTTTATTCCATGAATTCTTGTTTGGTGGAATCCTGCAATTGGAGTTGACTGTGAACATGGAACAAAGTCTTGACTATCTTCAAAATCACATTCTGAATCTGACTGAAAACGAGATGGAGAAAAACATGTTTTTGGATATGAAGTGATAGATATGCTTTGCAAGGATAACTTTTGTGAAGACTGGTTAGAGTTTTCAGAAAGTGATCCCAGTGAAAAATCATATTCTCTATGGTGACTTTCTGTCAAAGACTTTCCCCACTGTATCAAAATATTCCTTGACTTTTTGCGCATTTCTGTTTCAATGTCCATTTCTTTAGCACTATCATCAAAGAGATCGGCAGAAGCATTGTAGCTACCTTCATCACTAGAACAGTTCTGCGTTAAGTTATTGCTGATATGTCCATAAGGCATTTCTTTCAATGTTTCTATACCTCTATTTGGACTACTGCAAAGAGTTTCTAAAGGATATGTCAGTTTCCGACAAATTGCAAAGCTACCATCTTGGTTCTTTGCCCATCTGTAATATTGTTTCTTTTCTAAATTGCAAAGGTCAGAAATATCATTATACCCCTTAGAATGCCAAACTGTCAGCTTTTCATTCACTTCTGAAAGTGATCTTTCTTCATGATCATGAAAATATTTGCTACCGAGACAAGAATGGTCACTTTCTGACATATGATGCTTATGTGAAATTTCAGCCATATATGATGGAATTCTGGTAGACTTCTGAAAAGTGACTGTTGTTTCTAAACCTTTTGAAGAAGGAAGTACAGCTGACAGATTTGGTAGGAAAGTATCTCTTGCATTATTTCTTATAGTGACAGCCTCTGTGTTATCTGGTTGAGACTCCTGAACATTAGAGCTTGGATCTGCTTCACAGTTTGAAAGGTTATTTTTGCTAGAGTTTGCTTGTGATGATCTTAGTGGTATATGCAAGGCTCTCACAGTTTTTTGGGGAGGTACAGATAACCTGCTGTCGTCTTCATATACTTTACTGATGTCATTAACTAGGTCATTCTTCTTACTACTGACTTCTGTCTGGGATAGAGCAACCTCATTTTCGATAACTGCCAGAAACTTGTTTAGGCTTTCAGAGAACGGCAGATCATCCCAAATCTCGAGGTCACCATCCTGGTAAGTGGTACCTAACTCTTTAATTCTGAGTGATGAAGATGGAAAACATGTAGATATCTCCTGAAGATTAAGGGTAGCATCCACATCATGCTGGTAACATGTCAGCTCACGCTGGGAATATCTACTTTCCATTGTACTGTGGAAGGATTTATTTTTGGGCTCAATGGGCTCTTGCGTTTTCCAAAGAAATAAATCATAGTCAGTAATTCCAATTTCAGGGTGACTACTGTGTACTGTATTTGACTGATTAGTCTGTAAACCAAGCTCTTTACCTAACTTTTGTGCTGTAGTCTTTTTATCCTCATATGAAATAGTGCTCCGTGAACTCTGAATGGTAACACAGCAATTACTGGAAGCAGAGGCCTTGATAAAGGAGGTACACTGTCTGTCTTGGTGATGAACAGCAGTAGCCTTGCTTTGTTCTGATGATGAAAAGTCATGATTATCTGTTAGTTGTGAAATAATGGAATTAAGTTCAAGCGATGACTGCCAGAATCTTGAAAAATCATCTCTGACGTGAGACTCAAAACTAGAAATTTTGTCAGAGCCATATATGCTGCTGAGATCACTATTTGACTGGTCTGAAGAAAGAAAGTGGCTATTAGTTGTCTGGAAACCACAATGAAGTGTTCTGAAAAGCTGACGGAAATAATCAATGACAGTGAAACCTGTAACACCTGGGTCTGGTAGAAGAATCTGGCAAGCTACCAGTGCTTTAACTTCTCTCTTAAGGTCAAGGGAGTGCTTTAAGAAATTACTAGTATCTGGACCTTGTCCATGGTGGCTTTCAAAATTCTGTGAAAAGAAGAAAATGAATTTAAATGAGAACAAAGTTTTCTTCCTGACTAAAATGTGGAACAGGGATTTAAAAGGTTAAAACAGGTACAGGACCCTCCCTGGTGGGACAACGGGTTAAAGCGCAGTACTATGAAGCTATCTGAAGCCACTGCAGCAGAGTTGGATCCCAGCCAAGGAAGTGAACCAAATGGCACAGCAGACCTCTCCTGACCCACCCACTGCTCTCCTCAGCAGTTTACTTCATCAATCTGCCGTTTTGCTCCCCATTCTCTCTGGTCAATCTTTTTTTATCACCCCTGTGTCTCTGGTCTGTACCCCAGGTCTGTATGCATAAATAATAAAATAAATAAATCTTTAAAAACAAACAAACAAAAAACAGGTACAACTCTAGTTAGTCTCCATTTCCATAACTTTAATTCCTCTAGTGTTAGTAGGCAGAGTAGCCAAAGAGAATTCAATGAAATAGAGACTTGTCTTCAAATACTGGTTCTAATAACTAACATTGGGATTTTGGAGCAGTTATTTAACCTTAGTTACAAAATAGAGATAAAAATGTAGCATTGTTACATTAGCATAAACACATGGAAAACTGCAAAACTTAGTAAATAGTTGCTCAGTAAGTGGTAGGTACGATTATCTTTCTCATTAACTTCCATAAGCTGTAAGTTTAAGAAACTTTCCTGACTTGGTAAGGAAAAAAGAAAGAAAGAAAAATTAACCACTGAAGATACTAACAAAGAGAAGCTTCCTAGATTCTGGTTTCATCTTTCCTTTGGATACTCACTATTTAGTTATACTTTGTTACTCTGTTCCTTCTTGAAACTCCAATTCTAGTGTGGATAAAATTGCCACTTGTCCTCTCTAGCATGTAGATGAGACTAAATGACTGCCCCTTCAGTGTCTGTAGACTATTTTAATGTCTTCTACAGTGACTGGAGAGTGACTGTCAAATCACCTTTAAAATTATTTTAAACTGTCCTTTCTAGTATATTCTAAGAAGTCTTAATATTCAGACACATTATCTTCAGTGTTAGTTCCATCCCACTTCTTTTACTGATGTTAAAATTAAAAAGCCAGAGTTGACTGAAGTTTTAGTACAGAATTTGAACACAATTTGGAGGGTAAAATAAATATTACATAGTTTAAAGTGCTTCTCCAAGCCTTCAGTGTTATGACTCCTAAAAAGCATTTAGGAAATTCAAATCACTTCATTACTATTGAAATTTTTTGAGAAAGATTTATTTATTTATGTATAAGGGGGTACAGGCCAGAGGTGCAAGGGTGGTAAGAGGATTCACCAGAGACACAGTGGGGAGCAGAACAGGCTGACTGAGGAAGTACACTGCTAAGGGGAGCAGTGGGTGGGTCAGGGTCAGGAGAGGTCTGCTACACCATGTGTGTCACCTCCAGGGCAGGGATCGAACTCATGCTGAAGTAGCTTTAGCTTCTTAGTGCTGTGCTTTAACCTGCTGTGCCACCAGGGAGGGCCCACTATTGAAATTTTTAACAAAATAATAAAAAGAAAGCTAAGTTTCAATTACCGTCACTCCAAAAATAAAGCATTGTCCAACAAAGCAAGTTTCTACAGCTTTAGTTAATAGGTTCTGAGTTGTGTCGCTGTCCAGTGTTCCTGGAATTTCATTAGGATCCTGCAGGTACCTTGATTGGAAAGAAAATAAAAAAGGTGAAGAACTAAACCAACATTTTAGCTTACTATAAAGCTAGAAGACAGTTTAAAAATGTGGCATGAACCTTTTGAGTTAGAGAAAAAAAGTTACTTTAAGAGGTACTGTGTTCTCTATAGTTTACCTTAGCCTGCAAAGAAAAAGGCAACTGATCAAGTGTGAATTGGGAGGTGCTTACCTATTAATCAGACCCAGCAATTAATCTAAAAGTGGCAGCTGGAGCAGTGGTGGGGGATCTGTACTCTAGTCCTTCTCCTCTAAATAGAGAGAAATCTTTCCTCTTTCCTGGGTATTCTAGCTCTGGACATTCTCTTATCCTTTTTATTAAAAATGAATTTATGCACAACAAGGATATGGACAGACATTTCTTCTATCAAGTGATTAGGGGAGGACAGTAGAAGATTGAGGGGTAGAAAAAGCTTACACACACACACACACACACACCCCTCCTTGCATTATCACGACAACTTAATCAGTCAAACTAAGCCATGAAGTAATAATACAAGTGAGAGAAATGACAAAATTTCTGATATGTAAATATTTCCTCAAATAGTTTCTTCTGCCTCAAGGAACCTTAGTTCTTTTGAATGTTAATCTCAATTTAGATACTTTTTCAGTTTGAAACATTTTTACGTTTTTTTTTCTATATTTCTCCAACTTGTTTTATAATTGAACATTCCTAGTATAGCTTTACATGGCTTGAATAAAAGGAGTCTAGTTCACCATAATAGTATTCAGAAAATATGTTTCTATTTTTCACTTGATTTTTCTTCTAAGGAACTGAAATGGTCTCATATAAAATTTGAATTATCTTAAAAATACTTTTCTTAAAATTCTACTAATATATTAAAACAGCAATTAGGAAAAAGAATGCTTTAGATATTCCTACCTGTATAAACCAGTGGCTGTAAGACCAAAAAATGTATCTAAGCAGCTTCCAAATACAGTAATGTCAAATAATCTGTTTGACTCTGCAATTTTTAAGGAAAGTTTGTATCTGTAACTGACATTTTCAGCTTCACCAGTAGAGCCACATTTTGGACATTTAGACCTGGAAAAGTGGGGGGCAGAAAGCACAGAGAGGTTTACAATTATTTTTCATATGATAAAAAACAAATACAGAAAACTAAAAATACTTAGTGTACAAATGTTTTTCTATAACTTATGTTCTTCTTAAACTATTTCAGATCAATTCTTTGAATGTCCCTACTCATAACAACTGAATATATTGATTTAAATAGAATCAGTATAATTAAGAGAAACCTGAAGGAAAATTTATTTATAGTGTGGTATGTATCTTTGTGAAAGAGAAAAAGGAACTGTGAGAGGGAAGTAGAGAGATCCTTTTATTTGGTAGTTAAAATCATTATCAAATTAGGGTTAATGGGCCAACTAAATATAACGAAGGAGCACACACCAAAAATAACCTGAAATTAGAGAAAAGGCTTGAAACATTTAATACATTTACACAGAAAGTGCTTATTTACATTTTTCTTACCATTACACTCTTTAGTTTAATTCATTGGAATATAGTAAGAATTTGTTAGATCAAAAAAACTAGGTAGGTATGAAATACCTTGACTGATTTGTTTATAAAGCAGTATCTAATTTTGGCTAAGGTTTTCTTGTTAATAACTACCTATTGTGTGTAACTCTACTGTCATGTACTAGCTGTCAAGTCTGGGGAGAGTCACTCAATTCCTTGATTTCTTGATTTTTACAATTGTAAAATTCAGGTTTGAAGAAGGAAACGATGACAAAGTTGAAAACATACCTATTAAAAATAAAGAGGATCTTGCTTAGCACTGGCCTGCTTCTCTCTCAAAATTATATTAAATAGTTATTATTCTCACTTTTCTACTTGTGTGCAACATCTTATAAGTCTGGTATCTATCTTTCATGTGCTTAATTTACCAAACTGACTCCTTAAAACACCTATGTTTTAAACATATGTTAACTATGGTTAAACACAGGACCTTGTGTTTCTTTATGTTGTTAATGATTGGTTTAAGAAAGAGTGGTAAGAAAAAAAAAAAAAAAAAGAAAGAGTGGTAAGATGCAAACAAAAAATCACAAAAAATGAGCACAAAGCAAGAATGTGGCCACTTGTAAACCAAGAGAGTTCAAATAACATCTATGTTAGGCATCCTGCTCTTGGACTTGCAGTCTTCAGTACTCTATCAAGGTCACATTTACATTTCCACATACCAGTGTGTCTGAGAGAAACAGTGCTGAGACAGCATCTGTGTACAAAAAGACTTTTCCAAAAAGTAATCTAATTTCACCATTTCAGAAGTTATATCAAGGTAAAAATACCTGTACAATACCCAGTTGAGAAGAATATCTTAGCTAGAAGTACATAAGTACTAGAGGGAGAAGAGAATATCCTGAGTCTGCCTGACAACAATAAAGAAAAGAAAAACCAAAAACACTTTGCATCCTACTTTCAATAATTTAAATATGTGCTAAGTCATATATTGTAGACAATACTGTTCAGTGAGCGACAAATGTATTTTGTTTTAAATTTTACAACAGTTTATTTTTACATCATTTTGTACATTTTTTTCCCCATCTCAATTGTAATCCCCGCGGGTTTCCCATCACTAAGTCACCCGTGTGCCATCACCATAATCCCATGCACTTCCCTCCCCACCCCCCTGACCCCCCGTTTTTGATCCCATTCCCCACTCCACCCCCACAGAATGTCTCTGGTATATGGTTGTTCATTATTTTTGTTATTTTCTCGCCTGGTCCATTATACTTCTGCTATGAGTGAAACCATCCGGTATTTTTCTTTCTCTTCCTGGATTATCTCACTAAGCATGATCTTTTCCAGCTCCATCCAAGTTGCTGCAAAAGACATGTGTTTCTCTTATTTGGTTGCTGAGTAATATTCCATTGTATATATGTACCACATCTTTCTAATCCAGTCACCTACTTTTGGGCATTTGGGTGCTTCCATGTTTTTCCAATTGTAAATAAAGCAGCAATAAACATGGTGCTGCAGGTATCTTTTTCAATCAGTGTTTTTATGTCTTTTGGATAGATACCTAGCGACAAATGTATTTTTAAAACCTTCATAGTCCAATAATGGATGCATGTAACAAGATGTGAAAGCTGATATACGGACTCTATAGATGAGAAACTCTGAAATGTGAATCAGGAAAAATAATGCAAAAGACTATTTTTGGTTATTACATTTACATATGGAAAACAATTTAAAACATACTTTACAAAAATGTTACTTCTTGCCAAAAATAAAACCATGTTTTTCTTAAAAGCACCATTTTTAGTGAAATATTTTAAAGCTATTTTATATAATTTATATCTTTGACATCATTGTGAAGTCCCCCTAAAATTCCTACCACCAGAACTATCACCATAGTTCCTTGTGCTGTTCTCTCTTCTCCCTTTTCTTCTTCCTTCCTCACAGAATGTCTTATTTATGGTTGCCTGCTAGTTTTGTTGCTATTTTTATTACTGTTATTTCTTTTTCCTGATCCTTTATTGAGTTCGCCTATATTCCTCCTATAAGTGAAATCATTCCATATTTTCCTTTTCTCTCCTGGCTCATTTTACTGAGCATGATCCTTTCATGTAGGGATGTCTTCATCACATGGCAGGAAGCAGGGTGTGCCCCTGGTCAGTGTCACATGCAGTTTACATGAGGAATTACATGCTCTCCACTAGCTATGGTGCTGTAGGCTCTCTTGGGATTTATGAAGCTGTACACTGTGTGTCAAAGCAAGCATAAAAGTTTAAAATTTCTATTTAATTCTGAAAGCAATCTTCTTTGTTGGTCAATAAAGTCCACAGATCAACCTGGAGTTTAAAAATTCTGACATTTTAATTATGCTCTGTTTATTATATATGATGCTATGGTAGTTGAAGTTATATTATGATTTTGATTAAGTGGACTTTTCTTCATTTCTTTTACCTCTGCCCCGTTGTTGCTACTAAGTGGAAAACCTCATTTTGAAGGGAGACAGCAGTGACTCATCAGTTATGGCTCTTTAGTAGCCTGATTTACAAGCAGACTCCCTACAAGACTACTGGAAAACTTATCATTAATTTTTAATAATTAGTGATTAAAAACTAAGCAAGATCCAAGATTTTATGCAATTATGGCTCTTTGTATTTTCTTCTCACATTTATATTTTCATGACTATGTGATCTGATTGTAGGTCAAGTTGCTTCAGGACTCATAAAATCATTTACTCAACAAACTGCGGTAATGAAGTAAAAATACCTGATCTCTACTCACAGGCAGCTCCCTGTCTAGAGGGACAATAAAACAATTAGAATAAAGGACAACATAGGCAAGTTGTAAAGAAGGGAAGGCAAATAACAAACGGTTAAGTATATGGTAAGGTAGGGTACCAATGTGCGGCCAGGTCTATCTTTAGAGAGGCAGAATAAGTCAACACACAGTGGCCCATGGTCTACAGAGAAAAGACAGTTTCATGATGAACTAACACACTGGAATGCCAGGTTGTATCAGAACAGTGGTGAACTCTAAGTAACTGCTGAACTGTCAAGAACCAACTCTTCTGTGTGCTGATAAGATCTCATTTATAGGTAAGAAAGGGAAAGTATCACTTTTGTAAAGGAATTCAGAAAGCTACTTTCAAAATAAAATGCTTATGTTTAGATAATTTGTAGCTTAGGTTTAAAATGTAATAGATTTAGCTTATTTTTTACTCTAACTTTTTATTCTGGAATAATCCTAAATATGTGAATAATGTTTGCATGCATGATCCTTTAGATGAAACTGCCTTTTGAGACAAAATGGATGCATCTTGAGGGATTATGCTAAGAAACAACTCAAAAAATGAAACACAATTACTGGATAACTTCACTCATTTGTGAGATACAAATAACCAAAGAAAACAAGCTGACAAAACACAACAAAAATAACTTTGGTTCTTGTGAAAAATACAGGGCATGGGGAGAGCAATGTATGATGGGTTAACAGCACTGGGGCTTTGGTGGTGGATAGTGAATGTAGAATGTGCACAAATTGAGGTGTGAAATGGACTCCCCAAATCATACTGTCATGTAAACATATGGTAAATAAATAAAATTTGATTAAACATGTTAAAGATAATTATATAAATCTGATTGCTGCCAGAGATCTACTCAGGGAACTTAAAATCCATACTCGCTAGGTGACTATTTTGAACAAAGGTTAAACCTTCATATAAGCTATTGATTAGATCTATGATAATTATATTTCTTGCCACACTGAAAATGGCTCTGTGTAATTTATATTATCTTACACACACCTGTGGGAGTTTATGCGATAGTCTGGCTATAGAATAAATTAAAGGTAACCAGAATCAATAGGGTATAAAACTACTACATTAGTATCAAACTCTAGTGAAATGAATTGTATTCTAAATGTTACAACTTCTTTAAAGATTATATATTTAAATGTATCCAGGTCTAAAGTAAATTCTTAGCAAATCTCAGAATAATATGTAGCAGTGCTTACAGTTTACAAATGTTTTGATAAACATGATTTCATTCTCATATATAAACAAGGAGCTTATACCCATTTATAAATGAGAAAGTAGGATGAATTATTGCCCAACGTGGAGATAGTGAATTTTATGACTGAAAGTCAAAGTTTTGGATCCCTAGCCTGGTGTTCTTTCCTATAAAACTTCAATAATACGGTTAATAAACTACTTTGTAATAAAGAATATAGACTAACACAAAAGGCTGACAGAAACTAGGTCTATTGGTATTAAAACATATACACACTAAACCATATACACTACTGAACAAAATATATATGTGTAAAGGTATTTATATAGTTTCCTTTATTCTTTTTTGGGAACAGGACTGGACTGAAATAAATTAAATGTTAGTATGGACTAAATAAAGATGAGAGCATCTCAAATTTCAATGCAGATCATCTGGAAATGATGTTATTGTGGAAATGAGGTTCTACTTCAAAAATCTGGGGCAAGACCCAAGACTCTGCATTTTTAACAAGCTCCCAGGTGATGGGACAAGCAAGGGTAGACACAATATACTCAAATCACAACCCTAGTCTTCACTTTGCCAGGTACCCCTTTTCCATAATGTCATTTGTTATGGAAAGCAGTTTTCAAACTTTTTTGGTCTTAGGATACTTTACACTCATCAAAACTACTAAGATGGATCTTTTTATTTGCACAACTGTTATATTTATAGTTGAAAATAAGAAATTTTAAACAAAAAAAAATTAAAATTGAGAAATGTGAACAATATATTGCAAATTTCTTTTTTTTTGAAGGTTGACCATAGCAATCTAATTTCTTTCTTTTTTTTTAAAGATTTATTTATGCAAGTAGAACTGGGGTACAGGCCAGAGGTGCAGGGGCAGTGAGAGGCTTCACCAGAGACAGAGTGGGAAGCTGAATAGGCAGATCAATGAAGTACACTGCTGAGGGGAGCAGCGGGAGAGAAAGGAGAGGTCTGCTGCACCATGTGGGTCACCTCCGGGGCTGGGGATCAAACTTGCACTGAAGAAGCTGCACCTGGCTTACTGTGCTGCCACAAGGGAAGGTCTATTTTTTTTTTTTTAATTAAATACACTTGGATTCTTTTTTATCTTTCTCTGCTGAATCTGATATCATATGTCAGGTAGGCTCTGGAAAACCCTATTAAGCATTGTTAAATGGAGAGTGAAAAGACAATCTTACAATTATTCTGAAAATGGCAGTTTTGAGGCCAAGAAGCCTCTATAAGGAAAGATATATTTGAATAATTTGCTTTTTTTTTTTTAAGATTTATTTATGCACATAGAACTGGGGTACAGGCCAGAGGTATAGGGGCGGTGAGAGTACTCACCAGAGACAGAGTGGGGAGCAGAACAGGCTGATCATCAAAGTACACTGCTGAGAGAAGCGGGTGAGGAAAGGTCTGCAGGGTCAGGAAAGAACTGCAGCACCATGTGGATCACCTCCCCATGTGGATCACCTCCCGGGCCGGAATCAAACTCATGCTGAGGTGGCTTTAGCGTCTCAGTACTGTGCTTTAACCTGCTGCACCACCAGGGAGGGCCCTATCTTTTTTTTTGATCAATTTCACTTGTTTATTTTTCTAGATTGGTGTACTCATATTTATCATGATGAAATCAGTGATTCTTAAGTGTTTTTTTGGTCTTTAAACTCTTTGAAAATATGATAAAAGCAATGGAAATGCTCTCCCAGAAAGCATGTTATGTAACATTTTACTTATTTTGGTGGCTACAAACATGTAACATTTTACTTATTTTGGTGGCTACAGGATTCATATATGCCTATAACCTATAGAGAGACCCCAGATAAGTATGCCTAGTGCAGTATAATGTTCCTCCCAATTTTATTGATCCATTGAATAAAAACAAAAAACAAAAAACCAAAAAAACAACTAGAGAAATGTATACCCAAGGCTTCATATAGTATCTCTGTTCTCATCCTCCCTCAGAGAAAGTGATGACCCATGTATGTGAACCAAAATTTTACTTAATTAAATAAAACAAGTCAGAAAGGGGTTGGGGGAAATGGAGAAGAGGATAGGTAGTTTCTGAGCTATAATCCCCATTTTAAGATAGAAAAAGAAAGTTGTTAGTATCAAAAACAAATTTCTTGACCTAAAGGAATAGAATATGGGTCCTATTAAGCTAACATTAACTGTCCTAAAAAGGCAGCTTACATATTGGGCTAGGTGTACAATTTATCTGGATAAATAAATCCCCTTTCTTGCTGGTCATTTTTAGTACATACAAAAAGATGAAGAACCAGACAAACTTTATGTACATGTATTTTTTTATATTTGTTTGTCTAACGTGTAGTCTATTATGTTTAACTGTATCATGAAATTTCTTTTCAAATGAAACCCAGTTTGGCACCCTAATACAACGATGAGAATGGAGTTCTTGTGAAAACTCAATGGGGCCCTAACGCCCTACCTACTAGTCAGTGCTATCTACTGTTATGTCTTTAATCCCTACCTCTCTCTCACAGAGCTCTGCAGAGTGGAGTTTGTAAACTATCACTGCTCTAATCTTGGAGGTCAAAAAAGTTAACTCCATAAAATACTGAATATGGTGGTTGTTGCTAAGGATTTGAGGTTCAAGGAAAATCTTTGGGGAGCAGACTCTTTGCTCTTCAGGTCTCTAAAATCAGCAGATGCTAGGTTGTGGACTCCTGTAAAACTTGTGCTGTGGTAGCGGGGAAATGAAAGTGAAGAAATTTCTTTTTCTTGTATTGGCATACAACTAAAAGGAAAGCAGAAACAGTAAAAATGATAAGCACTAGAAATGAGAGGAATACGTTTTTGTGTAGTAATGTCAAAGTAATATATACAAATAATGGATTTTATTTCCATGTAAAGTTTCCACAGGTAAAGACCAAATGCTGTGGGGGCCCAGCAGAGCTCCCCTTTCCTGGGATAGTGCAGCTTTGGAAAACAAAGGGTATACGTCATTCTGGACACAAATTCCACTGCTAATTTGGAGGGAATATGATGATTGTGAATTTAGAGGCTTGAAAATATTTCTGACACTGACTAGTTGACTTAACTTTTCCAAACTTCAATTTCTTCTTTAAAAGATTGGCATTAACAATAATATCACTACCTAGGGCTGCCGTATTAAAAGGTTTGTCCAGGTAGGGTGAATTGCCCTTGGGCCACAGGAAAGTTACATCATATACTATACTTTCTTGCTCATGTTTATAAGCTTTATTTTTTACCTTGTGGAGACTAGGATTATCCGAGAGAAGCACTTTTCACATGAAGGATATAGAAAACTCGAATTTTGGAGAGCAAGAACTGAGGCAAGAAGAAATTTTCTTCTTTTATTCATGTGTTCACACAGCCTGCAAAGCAAAACAAAACAGGCATTGGAAAGAATGGCAAATTTTAAATTTATTTTAGGAAATGACCCTCCACACAATGCCAATGATGCCTGTTATAGTGTCACTATATTAAGCGTACTAATAGGAAAGATTTTTGAAATAGCATAGTTCAAAGAAATATTGTTAGGCAAAACTGTAAATGAACTTGTGTGAATCTTTTATAGAATCTAAATTATTGAGAAATGGTTTTCATTTTTGAAAAAAAATCACATATTTTTACATAAGCTTGAAGAAAAAAAAAGGTTTAGGTTTCACAAACAGAAAAATATGTTACATGCTCAAGGGAAATTGAAGGACCGCTAAGAACCTTGTATCAAACACATCAAAGAATTCTCTTTTATGCGTTCTTTTTAAAAAATTCAAATGCTGGCTTTGCAAATTAAAATACTATTCATAGAGGACTTCCGGAAGATGGTGGCAGAGTAAAGACTTCCAAGATCACTGCGTCCAGGCTTGCATAGGAACTGAGGACTGAAAATGGACTATAGACTTACTACTGCAAGTTTCAACCAAAACGAAAACACCCTGGACTCACTAGAAGGTAGGTAACTGAGGGGGAATTGGCAAATGGGGAGTTCCCTTCTGGGAACTCCTGGGAAAACCCAGGC